ATAGTTAAAGTACAAATGGGAAAATAAATAAACATAAATATGGGTTGTATTTACAATGGTGTTTGATCTTCACTGGTTGCCCTGTTCTTGTGGCAACAGGTCACAAATCTTGCGGCTGTGATGGCACACTGTGGTATTTCACCCAATAGATATGGGAGTTTATCAAAATTGTTTTGTTTTTTTCGAATTGTAATCCGAGGGAAATATGTGTCTCTAATATGGTCATACATTTGTCAGGAAGTGCAGCTCAGTTTCCACCTCATTTTGTGGGCAGTGTGCACATAGCCTGTCTTCTCTTGAGAGCCAGGTCTGCCTACGGCGGCCTTTCTCAATAGCAAGGCTATGCTAACTGAGTCTGTACATAGTCAAAGCTTTCCTTAAGTTTGGGTCAGTCACAGTGGTCAGGTATTCTGCCACTGTGGTACTCTCGTCTCTGTTTAAAGGGCCAAATAGCATTCTAGTTTGCCTCAGTTTTTTTGTTAATTCTTTCCATGTGTCAAGTGGCTTCTCTTTTTGTTTTTCTTCAATGATTTGGTTGGGGTTCTAATTGTCGGCTCTCTCCTCTCTCGGCTTTCTTTCCTCTCCTCCTTTTCTCTTCTCTCTCGGCTCTGCTCTCTCCTTCTCTCTCGGCTCTTCTCTCTCTCTCCTTCGGCTTTCCTCTTCTCTCTCTCCTCCTCTCTCTCGGCTTCTCTTCCTCTCCTCTCGGTCTCCTCCTCTCTCTCGGCTCTTCGGCTTCTCTCTGCTCCTCTCTCTCGGCTCTCTCGGCTCTCCTGTCTCTCCTCTCTCTCTCTCCCTCTCTCTCTCCTGCTCTCTCTCGGCTCTCCCCTCTCTCTCTCCCTTTTCTCTCTCGGCTCTCTTCTCTCTCGGCTCTCTTCTCTCTCGGCTCTCTTCTCTCTTCTCTCTTCTCTCGGCTCTTCCTCTCTCTCTCTCTCGGCTTGCTCTTCTCTCTCTCGGCTCTCTCTCTCGGTCTCTCCTTCTCCCTCTCCTCTTTGGCTCTCTCTCTCTCTCTCCTTCTCGTCTCTGCTCTCTCCTCTCCTCTCTCTCGGCTCTCTCTCTCTCTCGGCTTCTCTTCGGCTCTCTCTCTCGCTCTTCTCTCGCTCTCTCTCTCTCTCGGCTCTCTCTCTCTTCTCCTCTCTCTCTCTCTTCGGCTCTCTTCTCTCTCTCTCGGCTCTCTCCTCTCTCTCTCGGCTCTCTCCTCTCTCTCGGCTCTCTCTCTCTCTCCGGCTCTCTTCTCTCTCTCGGCTCTCTTCTCTCTCTCTGCTCTCTTCCTCTCTTCGGTCTCTCTTCTCTCTCGGCTCTCTCTCTCTCTCGGCTCTCTTCTCTCTCTCGGCTCTCTCCTCTCTCGGCTCTCTCCTCTCTCTCGGCTCTCTCCTCTCTCTCGGCTCTCTTCCTCTCTCCTCTCTGGCTCTCTCCTCTCTCTCCTTCTCGGCTCTCTCTCTCTCTCTCTCTCTCTCTCGGCTCTTCTCTCTCTCGCTCTCTCGGCTCTCTCCTCTTCTCTCTCTCTCGGCTCTCTCTCTCTCTCTCGGCTCTCTCTCTCTTCTTTCGGCTCTCCTCTCTCTCGGCTCTCTCTCTCTCGGCTCTCTCTCTCTCCTCTCTCTCGGCTCTCTCCTCTCTCGGCTCTCTCCTCTCTCCTCTCTCTCGGCTCTCCTCTTCCTCTCTCTCGGCTCTCTCCTCTCTCTCTCGGCTCTCTCTCCTCTCTCCTTTCTCACTGTGTGCTATAAATATCACCAGCAACAACAGTGATGTCATAATGTTTATATATCGACCACACCTCGCGGTTTATCCCCTCCCATGTGTGCACTATAAATACTACTGGTGCCGTGACATCACAGTCAATCCCAGGATAGTGAATAGTGGCGATTGATGGGGAGGAGAAGGTGACTGTAGACGGACCATGAAGGCATAAAAGACATTGGTAAAACAGAAAAACTGTTAGGAAGGGGACATCTACAGTAGACGTTGTGGTAAAACAGAAACTGTTAGGGAGGGGACATCTACAGTAGACGTTGTGGTAAAACAGAGAAACTGTTAGGGAGGGGACATCTACAATATACATTTTGGTAAAACAGAAACTGTTAGGGAGGGGACATCTACAGTAGACATTGTGGTAAAACCAATGAACTGTTAGGAAGGGGACATCTACAGTATATATTGTGGTTTTGAGTCTGCCTTCACCATTTCCTCTAGCAGTCATACTCGGTCACTATGCCAACCACGCCGTTTATGGGGGTAGGGTGAGGAGGGCAGTGCCGGGTCGGTCGTAAAGGAACCAATATAACTCCCTCGTAACGCCCTCTTCACCTCTCGATGGGATCTCCTTGAGAAAAGATTGCTGTTGGCTGACCGGTCCGTGTTGATAACCCTGTAGGCTCAGGCTAGTGATGTCCTACAGGGTCGTGTGTTATTAAGAGTCAGGGAGGGGGTGGTCATGATTTCATGAGGAATGGTCACATGCTTGGTACAACATAAGTTATAGTCTAACCCCCTGACAAACCAGCTGACTAATAAAACCCCACAATTCACCCTGTTGGGAAGGTCCCATGGGGCTGTGTGTTATTAAGAGTAATTGAGGGGGTGGTCATGATATCATGATGGATGGTCACATGTTCGGCACAGGATACCCAGATTACCCATCCCCTCAAACCAGCTGACCATTAGAAAACACACTAATAGGAAATACATCATAAACCATTAAAAAGTCTGTCAGTTTCAAATATATAACTAAATCGGCTGTTACCCAGATGTTGAGTTGAACTCTAATCTGACTCCATCCAGCCAGTGTTGCTTGGTGTTGGGTCAGCAGTGGTGCCTAAAATAAACAGAGCCTCAGCAAGCAGGCCCAGGGTGTGTCCCTCTCTCCCTCCCTGCCCTCCCTGTCCCAGCCCTGAGCCCTCAATGGACATCTGTACTCCCCGGCTGCCCAGTGAAAGAGGGCATTCTCTCTAACCACTCACACACTCCCTGAGACCGAGCACACTGGGGCTAGTTCACATACAAGCTCTGGCTCACACACTCAAAGGGAGGGAACACGAACACACACACACACACACACACAGTGAGAGTAGAATGAACAAGATCGTCATATGTTTTTGTTGTACATCCATGTTGATTCCAGTATATGCACACACACATACACCCACCCAAACAGACATTTGTACTGAACTCTGTATCCAAGTCCCTCTCAAACGCTCCGTCAAGTCACTGGCTGTTCTGATGACCTCACGTTTGGAATTCCAGAGAGCTTACTTTCCTGTTCTGGACCATTCCCATTGTGACACGCAGACAGAAGCAGCAGGCTGAGGCTTCCCTAGACTTCTCCTATCCTGCTCTAGTGTCTTAACCAAACCTTACTGTACATTTTATAGGGCCCTAAATAGTATTGGCTAGATACATGTAAATTACCATATTTTTTATAACTGAATATCATCATCCTTCTGATTTCTCTCACCCTTTGGGCGTCCTCCTCAGGAAAACCACTTCATCAAAAGTGTCACTTGAAAATCGACTAAAGGCACGGAAAGACTGGAAGGATTGTTGAATGTCTGTCGAATGAGAGTACTTAGCACCCCTCAACAGTGCCGTCCGTAATTTGCAAACCGATTCTACATGTAGAAACCGGCTAAAATGACGTCCGTCAGTCACCAACGGCGGGTGGTCACTATAACACACCGCAGTGACATCAAACGAATGAACACTGTGTACTGTGCAGACCGACAATCGGTCTGGTGAGTTTTCTCCTTAAACGGGTGTTACTCTCTGACAGACTGACCAGGCACATGCCACGGGCCAGGGGTAGTATTCATTAGTGCACACCGTAACAACACGTTTGGCAATGAAAACCAGAGTTTATTATTGGACAAGTTCAGGTAATCCCTTCTGGTTTCGGTCCGTTTTGCTTCCTTTTGGTTTCTGGTGAATAGCCTTCACCCCAGGCGTGTTGAAACACCGCTTTGCCAAACCGTTTGGTTTCTGGTGAATAGCCTTCACCCCAGGCGTGTTGAAACACCGCTTTGCCAAACCGTTTGGTTCCTGGTGAATAGCCTTCACCCCAGGCGTGTTGAAACACCGCTTTGCCAAACCGTTTGGTTCCTGGTGAATAGCCTTCACCCCAGGCGTGTTGAAACACCGCTTTGCCAAACCGTTTGGTTTCTGGTGAATAGCCTTCACCCCAGGCGTGTTGAAACACCGCTTTGCCAAACCGTTTGGTTTCTGGTGAATAGCCTTCACCCCAGGAGTGTTGAAACACTGCTTTGCCAAACAAATGCTACTAAGCACTGTACTGCCCTACCAAACAATATAGCCTACTGCCTTATTGAACAACACTTAGTCTGACAGAACAGTATTAATTAGTACCACTCCTACTGGTTCAACAATAATACTCAGTCCTCCTTGACCTGAATCCGTGTCAGTCAGGCAAGCCTCGGAACTCCCCTGCCCTACCTCCCTCCCTCTCTACCTCCCTACCTCCCTCCCTCTCTACCTCCCTACCTCCCTCCCTCTCTACCTCCCCACCCTGGGCAGAGATAAAGCCTTTAGGCTAGCTAGGGTGTGGAGATGACTGGCATTCTCAGAGTGGGAGGGTGACATGTTGGCTGTCTGTCGTCTGTGAACAGTGCTGCTGCCCTCTCGCTCTCTGCATTGTTCCCAGGAATGTAGGAAATGTATGAATGGCAGCTGCTCGTGACTCCCCTCGGGAGTAGAGAATGTGGCGAAGCCAGTTTTTTTTTCTTTCTCCCAGACAGGTGCTCTCCTCATTACACACACACACACACACACACACACACACACACACACACACACACACACACACACACACACCTACCTGAGTTTACTGTATCTGGCCCTCCTGACATACTACAGTTAGTGGAATCGTTCTCTCTCTCTCTTCTCACATGACAACCACTGAATAACAAAGATTACATTCATTGTTTTCTTTCTTTCTCATCCTTTCCTCTCTTCTCCATCCTCCTTCATTCCGTCCTTCCATCCCTCTCTCTGACAGAGGGACCCAGACTACCTGAAGCTGTGGCTGGAGATCTTCATTGGCTCCTATGAGAGATGTCTAGATGTGGACTTTGAGAAGCCACCCTCCAGGTAAGCATAGCCCCAGAGGTGGGACCAAGTCACAAGGTCCAAGTCTCAAGTCGAGTCCAAGTCGTGCATTCTAAGAGCAAGTCATGTCGAGTCACACGTTTTTTGAAGTCAAGTAAAATTAAAACATTCTATACATGCAATGACTTGTTCAACTACAAATCGTCGTCTATTTATTGAGGCTACCAGACATACCTTTTTATTATTTTGTCTAGAACACATTTTGATGATGTAATAATTAATTTGAACAATAAATTCCAAATGTTAATGATTAATTTCAGTGAATTTTGACATACCAAAAGAACAGTAGGACTATGCTAGTAGCTGTTGCTTGAAGCCCCATTGCTGGTGAGCTTGCAGAGTAAATGGTTCCTATTCACCAAACCATTGTTGGAGCTGCATATTAATGCCAATCCTCTCTCCCTGCACCTGATCCTAGATCTGTACGGCATATCAACAGTCTGTTCTCTAGCTCAGTGCTTTTCAAACTTTTTGACACGTGACCCCTAAAATGTAGTGGTTCTAAGCTTGCGACCCCCGCACACATACGTGCAAGCGCGCACAATCGCTGCACAAATGTAGCCTGTCATTACAGCAATAAACGATGATGCGTATTCAAAACGCAAGATACATAAATAAACTGTGTTTTGCACCTTCATTTTGAGCTGAAAGTCATTCATGTTAGCAGTCAATATCAACTAGGGATATCATGCCACATTGTCACTTCTCTGGAGTCCAGAGCAAGCAGGATCATACGGCCTAACTGTATGTAGCAGGATCATACGGCCTACCTGTATGTAGCAGGATCATACGGCCTACCTGTATCAAGCAGGATCATACTGCCCACCTGTATGTAGCAGGATCATACGGCCTACCTGTATCAAGCAGGATCATACTGCCCACCTGTATGTAGCAGGATCATACGGCCTACCTGTATGCAGCAGGATCATACGGCCTACCTGTATGCAGCAGGATCATACGGCCTACCTGTATGTAGCAGGATCATACGGCCTACCTGTATGTAGCAGGATCATACGGCCTACCTGTATGTAGCAGGATCATACGGCCTACCTGTATGTAGCAGGATCATACGGCCTACCTGTATGTAGCAGGATCATACGGCCTACCTGTATGAAGCAGGATCATACGGCCTACCTGTATGAAGCAGGATCATACGGCCTACCTGTATGCAGCAGGATCATACGGCCTACCTGTATGCAGCAGGATCATACGGCCTACCTGTATGTAGCGGAGGTTGCAGCATCGGATGGAAAGCATGATCTGTCTGTAACCTTTTTCTTCCTCACAAATATCAATATTAATTGGCTAGAATATGTTACATCTTCATCCCATAGGTATTGAAGTTAGTGTGATGTTAGAGCTAACTTTAAACATATAGCCAATACCACCACTGAGGTATAGCATTATAACCCACACAAACTAGGCCTAACTAAAATATATACAGTACCAGTCAAAAGTTTGGACACACCTACCCATTCAAGGGTTTTTCTTTATTTTTACTATTTTCTACATTGTAGAATAATAGTGAAGACATCAAAACTATGAAATAACACATATGGAATCATGTAGTAAACAACAAAGTGTTAAACAAATCTAAATATATTTTAGATTCTTCAAAGTAGCCACCCTTTGCCTTGATGACAGCTTTGCACACTCTTGGCATTCTCTCAACCAGCTTCACCTGGAATGCTTTTGCAACAGTCTTGAAGGAGTTCCAACATATGCTGAGCACTTGTTGGCTGCTTTTCCTTCACTCTGCGGTCCAACTCATCCCAAACCATCTCAATTGGGTTGAGGTCGGGGGATTGTGGAGGCCAGGTCATCTGATGCAGCACTCCATCACTCTCCTTGGTCAAATAGCCCTTACACAGCCTAGAGGCTTTAACTTTAAAAGTTCTTGACATTTTCCGTATTGACCAACCTTCATGTCTTAAAGTAATGATGGACTGTCGTTTCTCTTTGCTTTTTGGAGCTGTTCTTGCCATAATGTGGACTTGGTCTTTTATCAAATAGGGCTATCTTCTGTATACCACCCCTACCTTGTCACAACACAGCTGATTGGCTCAAACGCATTAAGAAGGAAATAAATTCAAATTAACTTTTAACAAGGCACACCTGTTAATTGAAATGCAATCCTGGTGACTACCTCATGAAGCTGATTGAGGGAATGCCAATACTGTGCAAAGCTGTCATCAAGGCAAAGGGTGGCTACTTTGAAGAATCTCAAATATAAAATATATTTTGATTTGTTTAACACTATTTTGGTTGCTACATGATTCCATATGTGTTATTTCATAGTTTAGATTTGTAGATTAGTAGATAGTAGATTGCCTAACGGTACTTTACACAGAGTGTACAAAGCACTAGGAACACCTCTTTCCATGACAGACTGACCAGGTGAATCCAGGTGAAAGCTATGATCCCACTTCAATCAGTGTAGATGAAGGGGAGGATACTTTTTAAGCCTTGAGACAGTTGAGACATCATGGATTATGTATGTGTGTCATTCAGAGGGTGAATGGGCAAGACAAAAGATTTAAGTGCCTTTGAACGGGGTATGGTAGTAGGTGCCGGGTGCACCGGTTGAGTGTGTCAAGAACTGCAACCCTGCTGGGTTTTTCACGCTCGACAGTTTCCCGTGTGTTTCAAGAATGGTCATGGACATCCAGCCAATTTGTGGGAAGCATTGGAGTTAACATGGGCCAGCATCCCTTTGGATGCTTTCGACACCTTGTAGAGTCCATGCCCGACGAATTGAGGCTGTTCTGAGGGCAAAAGGGTGTGCAACTCAATATTAGGAAGGTGTTCCTAATGTTTGATGTACTCTGTATGCAGCCTATTAAAATATGTATGAAAAATATATATTTTTCCTTATCAGTTTCACACTCGCAACCCCCCAAAACCTTCTCACTGCACTAGCTCATCTGACCTGTGTTGATTGACAGTTTGCAGGTCCAATCAGAGGTCCGAGTGAGCATTTCACTAGCCAATCAGTTTTTTTTGCAAGTGGGATACTGTCTCGGGCTGTGTGGAGAGTAATTCACAGAGACTCTGTGCCACAAAATGAGTGACAAAACATTAAACACGGTTATCAGTGTCAAAGTCGAGTCCCAAGTGTTGATGCTCCAAGTCCAAGTCAAGTCTCAAGTTATTTTATTTTCCATCAAGTTGATTGTCAAGTCATCAAATTTGAGTCCACACCTCTGCATGGCCGTCTACCAAATCCAGGATATTTGTGCCACTGGAGTGTGTGTGTGTGTGTTGCTTACTGCAATGTCAGCCAAATCTAACTGGAGCTACATGTGAGTGAGTGAGTGAGTGAGTGAGTGAGTGAGAGAGAGAGACTCTCTGCTCTCACATGCCTGGTCAGTCCTGTCAGATGACGGTTACGTAAGGGTGTGTGGGATTGGAGAGCGTGTAGTGCGGAGCAATGTGAAAGCAGATTACTTTCCATTAGATCCGCCAGTACGGTTGTTTGTTCGGTGCCGTGCCTCTTTCCCACTCCAACCTCTCTCTCTCTCTTTCCCACTCCAACCTCTCTCTCTCTCTTTCCCACTCCAACCTCTCTCTCTCTTTCCCACTCCACCTCCCCCCTCTGCCGCAGCTGTCCTGCTTTCCCAGCGACACGCTCTTACCCCGATTTGGGAATGCTCATCTGGGCTCTGTTTGGTCTGTTTGGGAAAATAACCCATTCCTCTAGGATGAGCTCAGTCTACAGAGGGGGACAGAGACAGAGCTAGGTTCGCTGATGTTAGCAGTGCAGTGGAAGGTTTTATGACATTAGCCTATCAGCAAACACTAGTATTAAGGGCATCATGGTGTGTTGCTGAGGTAGATGTGTGTAATGTACCTGAATGCCCTAGAGGTTTGGGTGGTTTATTTGCCTGTGTGTGTGCTTGCATAGTATTTGTGTGAATGCAGGTGAGAGGTGAGCATGTTTTGGTGTTCCCCTTATTTCACCACCATCACTAACTCTGTCTCTCTCGGTCTCTCTCTCGGTCTCGCTCTCTCCTGGTCTCGCTCTCTCTTGGTCTCTCTCTCGGTCTCTCTCTCTCTCTCTCGGTCTCTGTCTCTCTCTGTCTCTCTGTCTCTCTCTCTCTGTCTCTGTCTGTCTCTCTCTCATTCTCTGTCTGTCTGTGTCTCCCTCTCCCTCCCTCCCAGGTTGGAGGAGGTGCCTCCAGTGATGACCCTGCTGCCAGACAACATCCTGCAGGTGTTGCGTCACCAGCTGCTCCAGTGTGTCCAGAAGGCCTCGGACGGCCTGGAGCAGGAGCAGCAGAACCTGGCCCTCCTGCTGGTCAAGTTCCTCATCGTGGCCTGCAGGTTGGTCTGTGTGTGGTGTGTCTGTACGACCAGGAACAGCAGAGTCTGGCCCCTCCACCTACCAAGGCCTGGTTGTGTGAACCCGGTCTGTCCATATTAAGGTGGTTGAGTGTGTGGTTGGACCACAGAATTTGAATAATTTGTAATTCTGTGGGTTGGACCACTTTTATAGGTAATGTCTATGGATAGGAACCACTCTAGCCTAGGTTGACAGGTCTTAGTGCCCCTGGTTTTAAACCTCCTTCTGCAGCCTAGCAGTAGGAGTAGGCAGGTGGTTCAGGATGGCACGCAATAGAACGTTATTTGCAACAGAAAGCGAAAACAAGTGAAAGTATCTCCCTGGCTGCTTCAGTCTGTAGTCTTCTATATGGTGCCGTCATGAACATGACCCTTAGGGGTATGCAACAAAGCAGGATCAATGAGTTAGACAGCTATCTTGCCTTCATATTCTGAAATAACTTTTTATTTAAAAAAAGATAACCTTGAAATGGGCATGGTCTAATTGACTCAACAACCAAAAACAGATATCTTAGTTTAGCTTTCTTAATGAACCAGAAAATCAATAGTGATGTCTAAATGTCAAATGTAGCACATTTATCCAGCTTTGTAGTGATGGATGATGAGCTACTATAACAGACATGACTCTCTCTCTCTCTGTTGGAACCTGTCACTACTATAACAGATATGACTCTCTCTCTCTCTCTGTTGGAACCTGTCACTACTATAACAGACATGACTCTCTCTCTGTTGGATCCTGTCACTACTATAACAGACATGACTCTCTCTCTGTTGGAACCTGTCACTACTATAACAGATATGACTCTCTCTCTCTGTTGGAACCTGTCACTACTATAACAGACATGACTCTCTCTCTCTCTGTTGGAACCTGTCACTACTATAACAGACATGACTCTCTCTCTGTTGGAACCTGTCACTACTATAACAGACATGACTCTCTCTCTGTTGGAACCTGTCACTACTATAACAGATATGACTCTCTCTCTCTGTTGGAACCTGTCACTACTATAACAGACATGACTCTCTCTCTCTCTGTTGGAACCTGTCACTACTATAACAGACATGACTCTCTCTGTTGGAACCTGTCACTACTATAACAGATATGACTCTCTCTCTGTTGGAACCTGTCACTACTATAACATACATGACTCTCTCTCTGTTGGAACCTGTCACTACTATAACAGACATGACTCTCTCTCTCTGTTGGAACCTGTCACTACTATAACAGATATGACTCTCTCTCTCTGTTGGAACCTGTCACTACTATAACAGACATGACTCTCTCTCTCTGTTGGAACCTGTCACTACTATAACAGACATGACTCTCTCTCTCTCTCTGTTGGAACCTGTCACTACTATAACAGATATGACTCTCTGTTGGAACCTGTCACTACTATAACAGATATGACTCTCTCTCTCTCTGTTGGAACCTGTCACTACTATAACAGATATGACTCTCTCTCTGTTGGAACCTGTCACTACTATAACAGATATGACTCTCTCTCTGTTGGAACCTGTCACTACTATAACAGACATGACTCTCTCTCTGGAACCTGTCACTACTATAACAGATATGACTCTCTCTCTCTCTGTTGGAACCTGTCATTACTATAACAGATATGACTCTCTCTCTCTCTGTTGGAACCTGTCACTACTATAACAGATATGACTCTCTCTCTCTGTTGGAACCTGTCACTACTATAACAGACATGACTCTCTCTCTCTCTCTGTTGGAACCTGTCACTACTATAACAGATATGACTCTCTCTCTCTCTGTTGGAACCTGTCACTACTATAACAGACATGACTCTCTCTCTGGAACCTGTCACTACTATAACAGACATGACTCTCTCTCTGGAACCTGTCACTACTATAACAGATATGACTCTCTCTCTCTGTTGGAACCTGTCATTACTATAACAGATATGACTCTCTCTCTCTCTGTTGGAACCTGTCACTACTATAACAGATATGACCTCTCTCTGTTGACCTTCATACTTACAATATGCTCTCTCTCTGTTGGAACCTGTCACTACTATAACAGATATGACTCTCTCTCTCTCGTTGGAACCTGTCACTACTATAACAGATATGACTCTCTCTCTCCTCTGTTGGAACCTGTCACTACTATAACAGACATGACTCTCTCTCTCTCTCTCTCTGTTGGAACCTGTCACTACTATAACAGATATGACTCTCTCTCTCTCTGTTGGAACCTGTCACTACTATAACAGATATGACTCTCTCTCTCTCTGTTGGAACCTGTCACTACTATAACAGATATGACTCTCTCTCTCTCTGTTGGAACCTGTCACTACTATAACAGATATGACTTCTCTCTGGACCTCATACTTAAGACACTCCTCTCGTGAACCTTCACTATAACAGATATGACTCTCTCTCTCTCTGTTGGAACCTGTCACTACTATAACAGACATGACTCTCATCTCTCTCTGTTGGAACCTGTCACTACTATAACAGATATGACTCTCTCCTCTCTCTGTTGGAACCTGTCACTACTATAACAGACATGACTCTCTCCTCTCTCTGTTGGAACCTGTCACTACTATAACAGATATGACTCTCTCTCTCTTGTTGGAACCTGTCACTACTATAACAGACATGACTCTCTCTCTCTCTCTCTGTTGGAACCTGTCACTACTATAACAGAATGATACTCTCTCCTCTCTGTTGGAACCTGTCACTACTATAACAGACATGACTCTCTCTCTCTCTGTTGGAACCTGTCACTACTATAACAATATGACTCTCTCTCCTGTTGGAACCTGTCACTACTATAACAGACATGACTCTCTCTCTCTGTTGGAACCTGTCACTACTATAACAGATATGACTCTCTCTCTGTTGGAACCTGTCACTACTATAAACAGACATGACTCTCTCTCTGTTGGAACCTGTCACTACTATAACAGATATGACTCTCTCTCTCTGTTGGAAACCTGTCACTACTATAACAGACATGACTCTCTCTCTCTCTGTTGGAACCTGTCACTACTATAACAGATATGACTCTCTCTCTGTTGGAACCTGTCACTACTATAACAGACATGACTCTCTCTCTGTTGGAACCTGTCACTACTATAACAGATATGACTCTCTCTCTGTTGGAACCTGTCACTACTATAACAGACATGACTCTCTCTCTCTCTGTTGGAACCTGTCACTACTATAACAGATATGACTCTCTCTGTTGGAACCTGTCACTACTATAACAGATATGACTCTCTCTCTCTGTTGGAACCTGTCACTACTATAACAGACATGACTCTCTCTCTCTCTGTTGGAACCTGTCACTACTATAACAGACATGACTCTCTCTCTCTCTGTTGGAACCTGTCACTACTATAACAGATATGACTCTCTCTCTGTTGGAACCTGTCACTACTATAACAGATATGACTCTCTCTCTCTGTTGGAACCTGTCACTACTATAACAGACATGACTCTCTCTCTCTCTGTTGGAACCTGTCACTACTATAACAGACATTGACTCTCTCTCTCTCGTTTGGAACCTGTCACTACTATAACAGACATGACTCCTCTCCTTTCTCCTCTGTTGGAACCTGTCACTACTATAACAGATATGACTCTCTCTCTCTGTTGGAACCTGTCACTACTATAACAGACATGACTCTCTCTCTCTCTGTTGGAACCTGTCACTACTATAACAGACATGACTCTCTCTCTCTGTTGGAACCTGTCACTACTATAACAGACATGACTTCTCTCTCTCTTGACTCCTACTAACATGACTCTCTGTTGGAACCTGTCACTACTATAACAGAATGACTCTCTCTTCTCTGTTGGAACCTGTCACTACTATAACAGACATGACTCTCTCTCTCTCTGTTGGAACCTGTCACTACTATAACAGACATGACTCTCTCTCTGTTGGAACCTGTCACTACTATAACAGATATGACTCTCTCTCTCTGTTGGAACCTGTCACTACTATAAAAGACTTGACTCTTCTCCTCTCCTCTCTGTTGGAACCTGTCACTACTATAACAGATATGACTCCTCTCTCTGTTGGAACCTGTCACTACTATAACAGACATGACTCTCTCTCTGTTGGAACCTGTCACTACTATAACAGATATGACTCTCTCTCTCTGTTGGAACCTGTCACTACTATAACAGACATGATCCTCTCTCTCTTGACCGTCACTACTATAACAAAGACTTCTCTCTCTGTTGGAACCTGTCACTACTATAACAGATATGACTCTCTCTCTCTGTTGGAACCTGTCACTACTATAACAGACATGACTCTCTCTCTGTTGGAACCTGTCATTACTATAACAGATATGACTCTCTCTCTCTGTTGGAACCTGTCACTACTATAACAGACATGACTCTCTCTCTGTTGGAACCTGTCACTACTATAACAGATATGACTCTCTCTCTCTGTTGGAACCTGTCACTACTATAACAGACATGACTCTCTCTCTCTCTGTTGGAACCTGTCACTACTATAACAGATATGACTCTCCTCTGTTGGAACCTGTCACTACTATAACAGATATGACTCTCTCTCTCTGTTGGAACCTGTCACTACTATAACAGACATGACTCTCTCTCTCTCTGTTGGAACCTGTCACTACTATAACAGACATGACTCTCTCTCTCTCTGTTGGAACCTGTCACTACTATAACAGATATGACTCTCTCTGTTGGAACCTGTCACTACTATAACAGATATGACTCTCTCTCTCTGTTGGAACCTGTCACTACTATAACAGACATGACTCTCTCTCTCTCTGTTGGAACCTGTCACTACTATAACAGACATGACTCTCTCTCTCTCTGTTGGAACCTGTCACTACTATAACAGACATGACTCTCTTTCTCTCTGTTGGAACCTGTCACTACTATAACAGATATGACTCTCTCTCTCTGTTGGAACCTGTCACTACTATAACAGACATGACTCTCTCTCTCTCTGTTGGAACCTGTCACTACTATAACAGACATGACTCTCTCTCTGTTGGAACCTGTCATTACTATAACAGATTATGACTCTCTCTCTCTCTCTGTTGGAACCTGTCACTACTATAACAGATATGACTCTCTCTCTCTCTGTTGGAACCTGTCACTACTATAACAGACATGACTCTCTCTCTCTGTTGGAACCTGTCACTACTATAACAGACCATGACTCTCTCTCTGTTGGAACCTGTCACTACTATAACAGATATGACTCTCTCTCTCTGTTGGAACCTGTCACTACTATAACAGACATGACTCTCTCTCTCTCTGTTGGAACCTGTCACTACTATAACAGATATGACTCTCTCTCTGTTGGAACCTGTCCACTACTATAACAGACATGACTCTCTCTCTGTTGGAACCTGTCACTACTATAACAGATATGACTCTCTCTCTCTGTTGGAACCTGTCACTACTATAACAGACATGACTCTCTCTCTCTCTGTTGGAACCTGTCACTACTATAACAGATATGACTCTCTCTCTGTTGGAACCTGTCACTACTATAACAGACATGACTCTCTCTCTGTTGGAACCTGTCACTACTATAACAGATATGACTCTCTCTCTCTGTTGGAACCTGTCACTACTATAACAGACATGACTCTCTCTCTCTCTGTTGGAACCTGTCACTACTATAACAGATATGACTCTCTCTGTTGGAACCTGTCACTACTATAACAGATATGACTCTCTCTCTCTGTTGGAACCTGTCACTACTATAACAGACATGACTCTCTCTCTCTCTGTTGGAACCTGTCACTACTATAACAGACATGACTCTCTCTCTCTCTGTTGGAACCTGTCACTACTATAACAGATATGACTCTCTCTGTTGGAACCTGTCACTACTATAACAGATATGACTCTCTCTCTCTGTTGGAACCTGTCACTACTATAACAGACATGACTCTCTCTCTCTCTGTTGGAACCTGTCACTACTATAACAGATATGACTCTCTCTCTCTCTGTTGGAACCTGTCACTACTATAACAGACATGACTCTCTTTCTCTCTGTTGGAACCTGTCACTACTATAACAGATATGACTCTCTCTCTCTGTTGGAACCTGTCACTACTATAACAGACATGACTCTCTCTCTCTCTGTTGGAACCTGTCACTACTATAACAGACATGACTCTCTCTCTCTGTTGGAACCTGTCATTACTATAACAGACATGACTCTCTCTCTCTCTCTCTCTCTCTGTTGGAACCTGTCACTACTATAACAGATATGACTCTCTCTCTCTCTGTTGGAACCTGTCACTACTATAACAGACATGACTCTCTCTCTCTCTGTTGGAACCTGTCACTACTATAACAGACATGACTCTCTCTCTGTTGGAACCTGTCACTACTATAACAGATATGACTCTCTCTCTCTGTTGGAACCTGTCACTACTATAACAGACATGACTCTCTCTCTCTCTGTTGGAACCTGTCACTACTATAACAGATATGACTCTCTCTCTGTTGGAACCTGTCACTACTATAACAGACATGACTCTCTCTCTGTTGGAACCTGTCACTACTATAACAGATATGACTCTCTCTCTCTGTTGGAACCTGTCACTACTATAACAGACATGACTCTCTCTCTCTCTGTTGGAACCTGTCACTACTATAACAGATATGACTCTCTCTGTTGGAACCTGTCACTACTATAACAGATATGACTCTCTCTCTCTGTTGGAACCTGTCACTACTATAACAGACATGACTCTCCTCTCTCTGTTGGAACCTGTCACTACTATAACAGACATGACTCTCTCTCCTCTGTTGGAACCTGTCAGTACTATAAAGACATGACTCTCTCTCTCTCTCTGTTGGAACCTGTCACTACTATAACGACATGACTCTCTCTCTCTCTGTTGGAACCTGTCACTACTATAACAGATTGACTCTCTCCTCTCTGTTGGAACCTGTCACTACTATAACAGACATGACTCTCTCTCTCTCTGTTGAACCTGTCACTACTAACAGAACTCTCCTCTTCGTTGGAACCTGTCACTACTATAACAGATATGACTCTCTCTCCTCTGTTGGAACCTGTCACTACTATAACAGACTCTTTCCGTTGAACTGATACTATAACAGACATGACCTCTCTCTCTCTGTTGGAACCTGTCACTACTATAACAGACATGACTCTCTCTCTCTCTGTTGGAACCTGTCACTACTATAACAGACATGACTCTCTCTCTCTGTTGGAACCTGTCAATACTATAACATGACTCTCTCTCTCTGTTGGAACCTTCATTACTATAACAGACATGACTTACTCTCTCTCTCTCTCTCGTTGGAACCTGTCACTACTATAACATATATGACTCTCATCTTGTTGGAACCTGTCACTACTATAACAGATATGACTCTCTCTCTTGTTGGAACCTGTCACTACTATAACAGACATGACTCTCTCGCTCTTGTTGGAACCTGTCATTACTATAACAGACATGACTCTCTCCCTCTCTCTTGTTGGAACCTGTCACTACTATAACAATATACTCTCTTTCTCTCCTAATTAATTTCATTCATTGTTAAGGCTTTATTGCATGGGAAACATATTTTCTTCCAAACAGTAAATAAATAAAAAATTACGTAACTTACTCACAAGTTCAAAAGAATAACATTTCATGTCATTTTGTATTATCAGTGGTTGTAACGCATGTTCAATACAAGAATAAATATTTACAGTGTTTGCTTCACTTTGCCCCTTTTTGTGGCACGTCACAAATTGTGCTGCTGTGATTGCACACTGTGGTATTTCACCCAATAGATATGGGAGTTAATCAAAATTGGATTTGTTTTCGAATTCTTTGTGGGTCTGTGTAATCTGAGGGAAATATGTGTCTCTGTGGTCATACATTTGGCAGGAAGTTAGGAAGTGCAGCTCAGTTTCCACCTCAATTTGTGGGCAGTGTGCACATAGCCTGTCTTCTCTTGAGAGCCAGGTCTGCCTACGGCGGCCTTTCTCAATAGCAAGGCTATGCTCACTGAGTCTGTACATAATCAAAGCTTTCCTTCATTTTCAGGTATTCTGCCACTGTGTACTCTCTGTTTAGGGCCAAATAGCCTTCTAGTTTGCTCAGTTTTTTGGTAAATTCTTTCCAATGTGTCAAGTAATTATCTTTTTATTTTATTTTGGTTGGGTCTAATTGTGTTGTGTCCTGGGGCTCTGTGGGGTCTGTTTGTGTTTGTGAACAGAACCCCAGGACCAGCTTGCTTAGGGGGCTCTTCTCCAAGTTCATTTCTCTGTAGGTGATGGCTTTGTTATGGAAGGTTTGGGAATCGCTTCCTTTTAGGTGGTTGTAGAATTTAACAGCTCTTTTCTGGATTTTGATCATCTTTCTCTCTCTCTCTCTCTCTCTCTCTCTCTCTCTCTCTCTCTCTCTCTGCAGGAACCTGTCCAATGTGGAGGAGATAGGTACCTGCTCCTACATCAACCATGTCATCACCATGACAACGCTGTACATCCAGCAGGTCTGATTCCTCTCCCCTTTATTCACCCTCCTCTCCCCCCTTTATTCACCCTCCTCTCCCCCCTTTATTCACCCTCCTCTCCCCCTTTATTCCCCCTCCTCTCCCCCTTTATTCACCCTCCTCTCCCCCTTCATCCACCCTCCTCTGCCCCTTTATTCACCCTCCTCTCCCCCCTTTATCCACCCTCCTCTCCCCCCTTTATCCACCCTCCTCTCCCCCTTTATTCACCCTCCTCTCCCCCCTTTATTCACCCTCCTCTCCCCCTTTATTCACCCTCCTCTCCCCCCTTTATTCACCCTCCTCTCCCCCCTTTATTCACCCTCCTCTCCCCCTTTATTTTTATTTAACCTTTATTTAACTAGGCAAGTCAGTTAAGAACAAATTCTTATTTACAATGACGGCCTGCACTGGCCAAACCCGGACGACGCTGGGCCGCCCTATGGGACTCCCAATCACGGACGGTTGTGATACAGCCTGGAATCGAACCAGGGGGTCTGTAGTGACGCCTCAAGCACTGAGATGCAGTGCCTTAGACTGCTGCGCCACTCCCCCCCTTTATTCACCCTCCTCTCCCCCTTTTATTCACCCTCCTCTCCCCCTTTATTCACCCTCCTCTCCCCCTTTTATTCACCCTCCTCTCCCCCTTTTATTCACCCTCCTCTCCCCCTTTATCCACCCTCCTCTCCCCCTTTTATTCACCCTCCTCTCCCCCCTTTATTCACCCTCCTCTCCCCCTTTTATTCACCCTCCTCTCCCCCTTTATTCACCCTCCTCTCCCCCTTTATTCACCCTCCTCTCCCCCTTTATTCACCCTCCTCTCCCCTTTTATTCACCCTCCTCTCCCCTATTTGACTCTGTTACCTTTTACCCAGTCACTATGATCTATGATTTGGTATAGGGACGTGTGTGTGTGTGTGTGTGCATGCATTCGTGTTAGTCTGTTTCAAAACAGACTTGCACAAAATTATTTTGAGCAAGTCACAATGATTAGATAGAGGTACATTCCTGTGAGGTTACACATTCCTGTGTGCCTCTTTCTCTCTGTCCTGTGTGTGTCTTCTAGCCTCACCATGCTCTCTCTCTCTCTCCTACAGCTGAAGAGTAAGACGAAGGAGAAGGAGATGGTGGACCAGACTCAGGCCGAGGAGTTTGTCCGCCACTCTCTGGCCTTCTGCGAGAGCCTGTACGACCCCTACCGGAACTGGAGACATCGCACCTGCGGGTACGCTAAGTCGCTAACTGTCGCCGTGTTTGTTTATTTATAATCCTTTATTTAACCAGGAAGTCACATTGAGATTGAGATGTATTTGTCAAGTGAGCCCTGGAGCAGTGAGTGAACAATGTTTCCTTCCTCAAACATCTCCTGAGGTAACCCCAGCCATTCAACTTACTTCATCTATTTGATATATTCCAGTACCTGATTGACCTTCTGCACTTATCATCTGGGTACTGGAGGAGCAGGCTCAAGCATGCATTAAGAAGCAGGGCTCTATCAGCACCAATGCTCTAGTGGGTACTGAAGCACTAGATACAATGCTCTTAGGATCTATCATCATAATATACTTATCCCACCATGGTTCATTCTAGTGTTACACTTCTGAAAACACTTTTAGCCTTTTCACACTATCGTGCCGACCCGAATGGTAATGTGCTGGCTTGGATGTTATTTTTTCTTCACAGTACAGCTCTGCTTGGTTTAGCTCAGTCGTATACAAATATTTTCTCCTAAGTGCCAAAACACTACACAAATCAATCCAAGTAGTGTTAGTTATAATCCTGTGCTAAACCCTCCCAGTGCAATGTTCCTGCTCACAGACACACACAGAGTTTGGAGAGGGGGTCTGTTTCTGACACCATGTGTTTTGCGTTTCCCTGTGGTCTCCAGGGACCAGCGGAGTACGGTGGAGAAGAGCAGACAGAAGTACAAAGCAGCTCCTCTCACCGTGGAGTTTGTCCCTTTCTTCTACCGTGAGTTTGACTCCCTTTTCAAAACATTTTCTCCTTACTGAACACAACCCAGTTAGCCTCTCCAGAGGGGTCATTCAGAGGGGTCATTCAGAGGGGTCATTCAGAGGGGTCATCCAGCGGGGGAAATTCAGTGGGGTCATTGACAGTAGTGAATCAGGAAGCCATGTTCTACTCAATGAAAAGCAGCAACTCTCTAGAGAAAACAGATCACTCTTCTCTGCTTTCCTCTCCCATTTTAGGAACAGCCTCCCCTCAGAGCTCCACTCTCTTTCCTATCCCAGATTAGGAACAGCCTCCCCTCAGAGCTCCACTCTCTTTCCTCTCCCAGTTTAGGAACAGCCTCCCCTCAGAGCTCCACTCTCTTTCCTCTCCCAGTTTAGGAACAGCCTCCCCTCAGAGCTCCACTCTCTTTCCTCTCCCAGTTTAGGAACAGCCTCCCCTCAGAGCTCCACTCTCTTTCCTCTCCCAGTTTAGGAACAGCCTCCCCTCAGAGCTCCACTCTTTTTCCTCTCCCAGTTTAGGAACAGCCTTCCCTCAGAGCTCCACTCTCTTCCCTCTCCCAGTTTAGGAACAGCCTCCCCTCAGAGCTCCACTCTCTTTCCTCTCCCAGTTTAGGAACAGCCTCCCCTCAGAGCTCCACTCTCTTTCCTCTCCCAGTTTAGGAACAGCCTCCCCTCAGAGCTCCACTCTATTTTCCTCTCCCAGTTTAGGAACAGCCTCCCCTCAGAGCTCCACTCTCTTTCCTCTCCCAGTTTAGGAACAGCCTCCCCTCAGAGCTCCACTCTATTTTCCTCTCCCAGTTTAGGAACAGCCTCCCCTCAGAGCTCCACTCTCTTGCCTCTCCCAGTTTAGGAACAGCCTCCCCTCAGAGCCTCCACTCTTTCCCTCCCTCCCTCTCTGCCCCAGATGAATCCAGTCTTTGTGTTTTCTCCTCAGTCTGTTTGCCAGGCTGTTCTGATCAGCCTGATAGTGAACGGTGGCTGTCTGGGCCTCTGGCGACAGCAGCCATCTTGGAACAAACAGCCTCTCTTTGTGTCTGTGGTTCTGTCAACACAACAGAGATAACTCCAGCCAGTCGCCTCAAGCCCATTCCAGCAACCTGCCACAGTGTGTGACTGTGTGTGACTGTGTGTGACTGTGTGTGACTGTGTGTGACTGTGTGTGTGTGTGTGTGTGTGTGTGTGTGTGTATAAGACAAGTGTGTGTGAGTGGGGGACGCTCCGAGAGGGAGTGGAGAACGAGGTAGAGGGGGACGAGGTAGTGGAGGACCTTAATCTGTCTTGTCTGGGATCATTGGTTCGGGCCTAGCCTTATCCCTCTGGGATTGATTGGTTCTGCCTGGCGTTGGCCTGTAGAGTGTGAATGTGCTGACCTGGGAGCTGCTGCTGCTGCTCCTCACTGGGATGTGTTAACAGATGAGTTAATGTATGACTGAGAAGACTGGCCCCAAGGGAACATGAGAGACTGTGTCTGTGGGCATGTGTGTGTGCATGCCACGGTGTGTGCGATGCGTGTGCGACTGTGTGTGCGATGCGTGTGTGAGTGAATGAATGTACTGTTTGTATGAGCGAGACAGGGAGCTATTCAAGAGGCCATTCTCTCAACACCAGACCAGACTGCTACAGGGAGCCATTCAAGAGGCCATTCTCTCAACACCAGACCAGACTGCTACAGGGAGCCATTCAAGAGGCCATTCTCTCAACACAAGACCAGACTGCTACAGGGAGCCATTCAAGAGGCCATTCTCTCAACACCAGGCCAGACTGCTACAGGGAGCCATTCAAGAGGCCATTCTCTCAACACCAGACCAGACTGCTACAGGGAGCCATTCAAGAGGCCATTCTCTCAACACAAGACCAGACTGCTACAGGGAGCCATTCAAGAGGCCATTCTCTCAACACCAGGCCAGACTGCTACAGGGAGCCATTCAAGAGGCCATTCTCTCAACACCAGACCAGACTGCTACAGGGAGCCATTCAAGAGGCCATTCTCTCAACACCAGACCAGACTGCTACAGGGAGCCATTCAAGAGGCCATTCTCTCAAACACCAGACCAGACTGCTACAGGGAGCCATTCAAGAGGCCATTCTCTCAACACCAGACCAGACTGCTACAGGGAGCCATTCAAGAGGCCATTCTCTCAACACCAGACCAGACTGCTACAGGGAGCCATTCAAGAGGCCATTCTCTCAACACCAGACCAGACTGCTACAGGGAGCCATTCAAGAGGCCATTTTCTCAGCACCAGACCAGACTGCTACAGGGAGCCATTCAAGAGGCCATTCTCTCAACACCAGACCAGACTGCTACAGGGAGCCATTCAAGAGGCCATTCTCTCAACACCAGACCAGACTGCTACAGGGAGCCATTCAAGAGGCCATTTTCTCAGCACCAGACCAGACTGCTACAGGGAGCCATTCAAGAGGCCATTCTCTCAACACAAGACCAGACTGCTACAGGGAGCCATTCAAGAGGCCATTCTCTCAACACCAGACCAGACTGCTACAGGGAGCCATTCAAGAGGCCATTCTCTCAACACAAGACCAGACTGACCTCATGTTGTTATATTTGCATAACTAACTAAACGCCCACAGTGTTCAAATCAAATCAAATCAAATTTTATTGGTCACATGCGCCGAATACAACAGGTGCAGACATTGCAGTGAAATGCTTACTTACAGCCCTTAACCAACAGTGCATTTATTTTAAACAAAAAAAGTAAGAATAAAACAACAACAACAAAAAAGTGTTGAGAAAAAAAGAGCAGAAGTAAAATAAAGTGACAGTAAGGAGGCTATATATACAGGGGGGTACCGTTGCAGAGTCAATGTGCGGGGGCACCGGCTAGTTGAGGTAATATGTACATGTGGGTAGAGTTAAAGTGACTATGCATAAATACTTAACAGAGTAGCAGCAGCGTAAAAAGGATGGGGTGGGGGGGCAGTGCAAATAGTCCAGGTAGCCATGATTAGCTGTTCAGGAGTCTTATGGCTTGGGGGTAGAAGCTGTTGAGAAGTCTTTTGGACCTAGACTTGGCACTCCGGTACCGCTTGCCGTGCGGTAGCAGAGAGAACAGTCTATGACTAGGGTGGCTGGAGTCTTTGACAATTTTGAGGGCCTTCCTCTGACACCGCCTGGTATAGAGGTCCTGGATGGCAGGGAGCTTTGCCCCAGTGATGTACTGGGCCATACGCACTACCCTCTGTAGTGCCTTGCGGTCAGAGGCCAAGCAGTTGCCATACCAGGCGGTGATGCAACCAGTCAGGATGCTCTCGATGGTGCAGCTGTAGAATTTTTTGAATTCCATGTCCACTGACTGTGTGTGTGTGTTTCAGAGTGCTTCCAGGAGAGTGAACACCTGAAGGACAGTCTGAAATGCTGTCTGTTACACCTGTTTGGAGCCATCGTGGCAGGGGGACAGGTGAGAATCACCCTACATTAACACAGCATATGAAGTCATGTGTGCCACGTGAACAACAGAAGGCTTTATAGAGCACTCAAAGGTCCTCATATACAATTTGTGGTATATACCACCCTTTAAACTGTAGCAAGACATTTGCGTGTGAATTATTTCTGAAGCATGTATAGAGGCCGTATAAAGAGTTTATGAAGGCTCTCTCCCCCTCCCTCCCTCCCCCTCCCTCCCTCCCTCCCTCCCTCCCTCTCTCCCTCCCTCCCTCCCTCTCCCTCCCTCCCACCCTCTCCCCCTCCCTCCCTCCCTCCCTCCCTCCCTCCCTCTCTCCCTCCCTCCCTCCCTCCCTCTCTCCCTCCCTCCCTCCCTCTCCCTCCATCCCTCCCTCCCTCCCTCCCTCCCTCCCTCCTCCCTCTCCTCCCTCCCTCCCTCTCCCTCTCCCTCCCTCTCCCTCCCTCCTCCCTCCCTCCCTCTCTCCTCTCCCTCCCTCCCCCTCTCCCTCCCCCCTCCCTCCCTCTGCCCTCCCTCCCTCCCTCCCTCCCTCATCCTCCCTCCCTCCCTCCTAGCTCCCCTTCTCTTCTCCCCTCTCTATCTCCCTCTCTATCTCCTCTCTCCCCTCTCTATCTCTCTCTACTCTCCCTCTCTCCCTCTCTCCTCCTCTCCTCCCTCTCTCCCCCTCTCCCCCCTCTCCTCCCTCCTCCCATCCTCTCCTCCCTCTCTCCTCCTCTCCCTCTCTCCTCCCTTCCCTCCCTCCTCTCTCTCTCCTCTCCCTCCCCCCCCTCTCTCTCCTCTCCCTCTCCTCCTCCCTTCCCCCTCCCCCTCTCTCCCTCCCTTCCCTCTATCCCCTCCCTCCTCTCCCTCCCTTCTCTCTCTCTCCCCCCTCTTTCCCTCTCTTCCCTCCCTCCTCTCCTCTCCCTCCCCAGAGTAATGCTCTACTAGCCATCTCCCCAGCCACCATGGAGGTTCTGCTGCGTGTGCTGGGGGACTATGAGGGGGGAGACCTGGACGGGGAGGACTGGGACAGTGAGGCTCCAGACAGGAAGTCCCTGCTCACCCTAGGCTGTCTGAGGGAGGTGGTACATTCCCTCCTGGCAAGCAGCTCAGACCAACGCCAGGTCACTAGAATTATTTAGATGTTTTTCAACATATTGTTTTCTTTTCCCAGCTCAATAAACTGCAATTAACAATAGTTTAGGAACTTTTACAAATCATAGTAAAAAAAACTCTGATCATTAATAATATAATACAATTTCATATTAATGTAAACAGGTCAGTGCTTTTAGAGTTACCAGGGTCAGAAATAGTGCACTATATAGGGAAAAGGGTGTCATTTCTGACGCGAGCCAGAGTGTTCACTTTTATAGTGTTTTTATCCTAAATTATTATTTATAATGTGTATATTATTGATTTCACTTGGCTGAATTGACGTTCTAATGTAGCCTATATTTTAAATGTAATAAAATAACATTCATACAGGTGGAGATCGGCTCGGTGCTGGAGAACTACTTCAAGCTGCTCAACTCTGATCCGGCGGCGGCCGCCGTGCAGCAAGGGGTCAAAGGTCATAAGGTGCTGGGCCGCCACTGGGAGAGCCGCTTCGTAGCGCTGCAGGTGCACATGCTAGGTGAGTGACCGAACCCGGATTCTCATGTATGCCACAAAGCTGTAATAGCCCACTGACCTAAAGCCTAGGCATTAGCTCAGGAAGCTAACGCAAGTCTTCAGGTCTCAGACAAGGTTACTCTTTATGCCAGCGTGGTTTACTGAAGAACTTACATTACCACTAGCACCTAGTATAGGTTGAGTGTTAACCACTGTCACCTGACCATTGTCACCTGACCATGTCTCTGAATGATTTCTGAAGCATATAGAGAGAGGCCTTATAAAGAGTTTATGAAGGCGCTCGCTCACTCTCTATCTTTCTTTCTTTCTCTCTTTCTCTCTTTCTCTCTCTCGCTCTCTCTCTCTCTTTCTTTCTTTCTCTCTTTCTCTCTTTCTCTCTCTCGCTCTCTCTCTCTCTTTTGCTCTTTCTCTTTCTCTCTTTCTCTCTCTCTCTCTCTCTCTCTCTCTCTCTCTCTCTCCATCTCTCTCTCTCTCTCTCTCTCTCTCTCTCTCGCTTTCTCATCCCATCCCCCTTTCTTGCTATCGTGTCTCTGTGACCTCCAGACACTATCAGGGATATGTTCCTGTGTTCGGACCGTCCCGTCCTGCAGGCCATCTTCCTCAACAGCAACTGCTTCGAGCACCTGACACGACTACTGCAGAACAGCAAGGTATGGTCTCTCTCAGCCCTGGCATGAACAATGTTGAACATGGGCTTGAGGAGGATGGGGGGGGTTGGTGTAAGTCTTAAGTCTAGTTCACGTTTACTGTGTGTGGTTATTGTGTTGACCTTTTCCTCAGCGTATCGAGGTAACTCTGTCTAGGAAGCATCGTGTTACCTTACACTGTGTGTGAGCCTTTCCATTCAGGCTCACTGTGCATGTTATGACTGTACCTCCCCACCCATTGCTGGAGCATAGGTACCACTAACCCCCCCACCCCAGCCCCTCTTTGAGTCACGACCTTTACCCTCTGACCCCCCCCCCACCACCCTTTTTCTCTCTTCTCACCCGTCCTCACCACGTCCTGTTGTTGTTGGTTCAACCCTGCAGCTGGTTAATGCTAGGTGCACGACAGCAGAGAAGGACCAGAAAGATTTCACCAACAGGTTACTGACAGTGACAGGAGAGAGTGACACCCAGGTATACTGCCACCCTGTCAACCTGTCACTCACGCCACCACCGCCATCACGCTATCGTCACCGCCATCACCGTCAAGATGGCCACTCCATGACAAGACGTACAGCTGTGCTGCTCTGTAGTCAGAAACAGTCAATCAGTCAATTAAGCAGTCAATCAATCTGTCATTCAATCAAGTAAGCAGTCAATCAATCTGTCATTCAATCAATTAAGCGGTCAATAGATATTGACATCATAGCAATCTTTACAGTAACATTTGTCTTAAAGTACTTCAAGGTAACTTTTACAGAAAGTAGCCCGATCTCCAAAGGGCAAACAGCAGCACCTGTAGTGTGTGTGGTCAAACCGTCACCTCAGTTCAGTGTTATTCACCTGGCCTCCCCTGCAGTCACGGACACTCACTGCTTCCCTTTTAATGTAGTATAGCATTCTTCTCTTGACAGACAGTGGTCTGTAGTGTGCTTTAGTCACAAAGACTCACCTGTAGTGAATTATCTGTAGGCAGACACTCACCTGTTGGTCTGGTTATCATGCGGCCAGGTGCGCGAGCACACACACACACACACACACACACACACACACACACACACACTCACACTACAAAGTATTCCTTTGTAGTCAGGCACAGTTGAGCACCTGTAATCCGATACTCAGTCAGACTCTGTGTAGTGGCCACCCATGGTTACCTGGTTACCTAGCAACCTGACCGCAGGCAGACCTATGTGGTCTCCTCTCCTATAGGTCAGCTGTGGAATTAATGAATGAAGATGAAGAATACTTTATTCATCCGTTTTCCTTACAGTCCACAAAAATGTATTGTTTTATTACCCAGCCCGAGACAGACACACACACACACACACACACACACACACACACACACAATGAAAGAGTGTTGGGCCAGAAACCGAAAGGTTGCTGGTTCGAATACTCGAGCCGTCAAGGTGAAACATCTGTCTGTGCCCTTGAGCAAGGCACTTAACCCTAATTTGCTCCAGGGGTGCCGTACTACTATGGATGACCCTGTAAAACAACACATTTCACGGCACCAATATTTTTTTTCTTCTGTATGTGAAACATCAAATAACGGGCAGTGCATGCATTAAAAACCACCAAGTATGGTTGACACAGTAAAGGCTTATAGTAAACTGTTGGTTTACAGGGCAAAGATACAGTACAGTGAGAAGAACCAATTAGCTAGTCGTCTTGTTGTGGAGTGGTCTCTTGTTCTCTCTTGTGCTATTCATTCCTTTTCAGCTTCCTCATCATGTCATTCTTCTACCCCTCTTCTGTTTCCTCTCTTTGTTGTCTTCCCCTTCCTCCCTCCCTCCCTCCCTCCCTGTTGGTTTTCTCTGCTGGTGTCATGTGGGTTTCCATTGGAATGCTGTCACCTCACCTGTCTTGTGTTACCATGGAGACTGTGGCTACTGTCGCTATGGACGTCCATGGCTGAGGTGGTCTGAAAACAGCTGTTTGAGATTATTTCTGTGGGCTTTATATTCGGTTTATTTATTTCACCACGGACAGACCCTCTCCAGCCGGTCCGAGACACACTGAATGTTTTACGCTCCAATAAAGGGAGAGAAAACAGTGATTCGGAGAAGGGCAGAGCTGGACAGAGGATGTGTGGGTGTTTTAAATGTGTCTGCTGACAGGAGCAAGCATTGCTCCTCCGTGTGTGTTGGTGTTCTTTCTGTTTGCGTGAAGGAGAGAGGAATATTCTTTTATATATATTCTTAAAATATTCTGTTTTGTTGAGCCCTCAGAGCTTCCTGCTCCAGAGAGTACTACGGTATTAGTCAGACAATGACTCTTTCTAGACAGGAAATGGCAATCTTTCCTGGTGTGTTGTCTGGAGCAGAAAGGTTTGATGTGTCTGCTTCCTCTTTAAATAAAGGGTGATAAGAGGAATGAGCTCTTACACAGCAACTTCTGTATACAAATAATCAGTCACTAAACCTCTGCAGTGATTACACACACACACACACACACACACACACACACACAAACAGCCTCATTTTATTCCTGCAAGTGGAGTGAGGCATCATTAAGCATGATGTCAGTGTTATATTCTGAGAATGACGATCATTGAATGATGATTTGATGAGCCATAAAAACCTCACCTTAATCATTCATTTTGTTTGCATGAAGGCAGGGATAAAAGGGGCGTGTTTCACTCACGTACAATACTGCCACACCCCCCAGAGAGGTTAAGGGAATGGGGATTGGCTCAGGAGAATGATTGGCAGGTCTGATATCCTCTCAGGTGTTTCAAGGGCGACTGGACTCTCTCGCCGTGGCAACCATCAAGGCCCTGACGACGGTGATGCACAAGTCACCTGCTGCAAAGGTGAACTACACACACACACACACACACACACACACACACACACACACACAAAAAACCTTCCAACATATCCATATACAGACTGATCCGCACAAACAGTATTGCTAACAGTTTAGTCCCGCCCCTACAGGAGGTGTTCAAGGAGAGGATTGGCTACACTCACCTGTATGAGGTGCTGGTCTCCCTGGGCCAGCCCTCCAGACACCTGCTGAAGGAACTTATGAATATGGTGAGAGATTCCCCCTTGACGCTGGAGTTCTTCTGTTCTTCTCATATTAAATGACAACCTATTCCCCATAGTAGACTACTTTTGACTGGAGTTTACAGTAACTTTAAATGCCACTGTAACACAAAGCTTATTGCTTTTTAAATGTTAGGCCTAAAACCAAAATGCAATAACAAGCCTTCTACTTTCTATACACAGAGTATGGGCATGTTGTCTTCTGGCTCATAGTCGCAGGAGCATTGCACTATATGGAGAATAGGGTGTCATTTGGGACTTAAAACCCCCTGTATGTCTGTGCACTTACCCACTATGTGGTGTCTACCCTCTCTCAGGCCGTGGAGGGTGAACACACCTCGGTGGGTATCCTGGGCATCAGTAACGTGGAGCCCCTGCTCCTCCTCATCCAGTGGCTCCCAGAGATGGACTCTGCTGAGCTGCAGGTGTTCACTGCCGACTGGCTCCGCCGCCTCTGCTGCATCAACCGACAGACGCGCGCCACCTGTGTCAACGCCGCCATGGCCGTGCGACTCCTCGCCACCCTTGGGCACCACGCTCGCCTGCACCGGGCGTGTGCGGAAAGCCTTGTCGGTTTGCTAGGGTCGCTGGGAAGCCAGTCGCTGAGCGGCGGGGAGCTCCTCCAGTTACTCAGGCTTCTGAGGCCGCTGGAGCCTGGGCAGGCGCACCCGTACGTTGGCCCGGTGTTGAGGGCGGTCCTGGGCATGGTGCGAAAGCAGGGCCTGGAGAGCGCCATGCAGTACTTTGACCTGTCGCCCAGCATGGCCGGCATCGCCGTGCCAATGGTGATGCGCTGGCCGGGCCCAGCCTTCAGCTTCCTGGCTTGGCTCTCATTGGACCAGGACCAGCAGGGAACGCCCGGCAAGGGGGACAAGAGGAAGCAGCTGTACAGGTGAGAGAGATGGAGGGAAGAGGATGGAGGGAGAGGGATGAGGGAGAGGAAGAGATGGTAGAGGGAGGGAGGGATGGAGGGAGAGATGTAGAGGGAGGAAGGGAGGGAGGGAGAGGGAGAGATGGTAGAGGGAGGGCGTGATGGAGGCAGAGGGAGAGATGGTAGAGGGAGGCGTGATGGAGGAGAGGGAGGATGGTAGAGGGAGGTGGGATGGAGGAGGGGGGAGATGGTTAGAGGGAGGGGTGGGATGGAGGGAGAGGGTGAGGATGGTGTAGAGGGAGGGTGGGATGGAGTGGTAGGGAGGATGGTAGAGGGGGGGGAGGGAGCGGTAGGGAGAGTGAGGGAGGTGGTGGAGTGAGGGATGTTGGAGGGGGAGGCGGATGAGGGGTGACGAGGGGCGTGTGGGGGAAGGGGAGGATGTAGAGGGAGGACGGTGTTGCGGGCAGTATGGTGGGGGATGGTCAGCTGGTTGTCTGGGTCGTGGTGAGGGAGACTTGTCAGGGAGGAGGGCTGGGGGAGAGTGGTAGAGGGAGGGCGGGATGGAGGGAGAGGGAGAGATGGTAGAGGGAGGGCGTGATGGAGGGAGAGGGAGAGATGGTAGAGGGAGGTGGGTGAGGAGGGAGGATGGAGGAGAGGGGAGATGGTATGAGGGAGGGGATGGAGGGAGAGATGGTAGAGGGAGGGTTGAGGTGGTAGGATGAGTGATTGTGGGATGTAGGGACGTATGGGAGATGGGAGGCTTGGTGTGTGGAGGGAGGGGAGATTTTGGGGGGTCTGGGGGTGAGTGCGACGAAAGAGATTTTGAGATGGATGGAGAGAAAGAGACAGGAGGATGGAGAGACAGGTTGAGTGTGTAACATGCTCTGTTGTCTGTTCCTCTGTAGTTTCTTCACCCCGGGAGGAACGGGCTTGGAGGCCTTCATCAGTTCAGCAGGGGTACTGGTGGTTGCCGTGTGCACCAAGAAGGAGTACATGACGGTGATGCTACCAGACTACTCTTTCTGTGACTCACTCTGGGTGAGTGACATCACCACTTTGATGTAGGCTTGTCTGTGTCATAGAATTAAATATAGAACACTAGAATGGATATATCTCTATGGTCTGTGTGGCTGGCTGCTGACAGGGTGAATTGTGGTAGATTGAGTCCTGTGTGTGTGTGTTCTGTCTACAGCACAGTATAGGTGTAGTCCATGTACCGGGGAAGAGGCCGTTTGGACAGAGTCTAGTTTACATCTATGTAGATGGACAGCAGAAACTGTCAGCACCACTTAAGTATCCAACCATGACAGAGGTGAGAGTTACAATGAATTACATTTTTGTGGGTGCGCATGTGTTTATATACATTTGTGTGAACATTTCTAGTGTGTGTGGCCGCGGACTCCTATTCAGTTCCCTGACTGTGTTCTTGCCCCCTCAGCCTTTCACCTCCTGCTGCATCGGCTCAGCAGGCCATCGCACCACCACGCCGCCCCCCTCCCAAATCCCAGACCCCCCCTTCTCCGGGGCGCCCCCTTCCGCCCGCTCCTCCCTGGGGGGTATCCTGTCGGCCCAGGGCTGGGGGAGCCTCCTGGGAGGCAAGCCTGAGACGGTCACCAAGTTGATCTCGGCGGGGACGCAGGACAGCGAGTGGGGAAGCCCCACCTCCCTGCAGGGCCAACTGGGTAGCGTCATGGTGTTCCACGAAGCACTGCAGCCCAACCATGTCAAGGCCCTCTGCAGCCCCGGTGAGAGAGAGGAGAGATGGGGAGAATCCCAATTGCATTTCCTTGATTCCTCGTGTCCTCTCTTCTCGCCTCCATCTCAAAACCTACTGGATGAGAAAGTCAGATGGGAGGGACCTCTGACGTTCTCATCCAATGGGTGTTGAGAAGGAGGCAAGGAGAGAGGACGCAAGGAATCAAGGAAATGTAATTGGGATTCTCCCATAGAACTATTTAAAAACGCATCCATGAACGTTCCTTCCTCCCTTCCTTGAGATAATCTCTGATCAGGATTGGATTATTGAAGCCAATGGACTCTCTCCATTGATTCTCTCCCTGAAGTATGCACCCGTTCACTCCTTTTCATGGATTTACAGGCATTGGATTGATGTAAGCATTGGCTGAGAAAGTTTCTACCATATTTCTCACACCTCTTCATTTCTGTTGGATATGCATGAAGGGGAGAGACTGAGTGCATATCCACTTCGGGGAGAAGTCTCGTCAATCAGATCTGGTCAGAATAGTGATTTCTTCAAGGAAGGAAGGATGCATTTCATGAGCATTGGAACATGGCCAGGGACAGGGTTATAATAATGTCATACTTTGATTGGTTTCCTTTTCTTCTCAGGGCCAAACTGCATTTCTCCTTTCAAGACCCAGGAGGCGGAGCTCGGTGACCTCTCGACCAAACTCTTGCTGCACTACTCCCCCAAGGTGATTGGACTAGGCTGCCGTCAATCATTTACCTCATTACTCCCCGCCCATGCTTTACTATGACAGTCATGGATGATGTTAATGACTTGTGTCAGTTATGACAGGCGGTGTAACAATGAAAGATGTCCCCTGGTTCCTACAGGCTTGTCGGAACCCCATCTGTCTGGACCTGTCCCCCAACCTCCTCCATGGGCGTCTGACTGGGAACAAGGTTGTCAACTGGGACATCAAGGTACGGTTTAGGAGCAACAACGTAGTCTCCTAATTTGATGTTGACTGTTTGGTTGATGGGCAGTATGTAACGTGGAGGTTACATAAGTCGATCAGTAGCTGGAAGATTGCTGGTTCCAATCCCGGACAGGCAATAGGGTGTTGTCTTGGGGGATGGTTACAGAGCAAAATTCTATTCTATTCAATTCAGTCTGTGGTTATTTCCCCCTTTCTGATTCAGTCTGTGGTTATTTCCCCCTTTCTGATTCAGTCTGTGGTTATTTCCCCCTTTCTGATTCAGTCTGTGGTTATTTCCCCCTTTCTGATTCAGTCTGTGGTTATTTCCCCCTTTCTGATTCAGTCTGTGGTTATTTCCCCCTTTCTGATTCAGTCCGTGGTTATTTCCCCCTTTCTGATTCAGTCTGTGGTTATTTCCCCCTTTCTGATTCAGTCTGTGGCTATTTTCCTCTTTCTGATTCACACTCCTGTGTTCAGGATATGATCAACTGCGTGGGAGGTCTACCTGTCCTCTTCCCCATCCTGGAGCAACTGACCCTGCTGACCCCTGAGAACCACACCGCTGCCGACCCCACGGGGTCAGAGTTCATCAGCCCCACGCCTGACGCGGCCACTTCCCCTGGGGACGGGGACTGGGTCATCCTACCCTCCAACAGGGCCTCAGGTGAGTCCCCAGATCATGTGACTCAGGTGAGTCCCATAACACATCATGTTTAGCTTTAGGTGGTTTTACAAGCATTAGTTATTGAACTGAACTGACTTTAAGTGTGTGTTTGTGTGTCTGTCTCTGTGTGTGTGTGTGTGTTTCAGAGGCGCGTCTGGAGAAGAACCTGGTTGCCACCTTCCTGCTGGTGCTGAAGCACTTCCTGCAGCGCCATCCTATCAACCAGGAGAGCCTGCTGCACTCCCATGGAGTAGCCACCCTGGGGGGACTGATGCAGAAGGTTTAGACACTCTGTTAAGGCTTTCTCTGTCTGTCTGTCTCGCTCTCCCTCTGGCTCTTTCGTTCTCTGGCTCTTTCGTTCCCTCTCTCTCCTCTGTCTCCTCTCTCTCCTCTCTCTCTCTCTCGCTCGCTCTCTATCTGTCATTCTCTCTCTTGCTAATGATCTGTGTGTGTTTCTCTCTGTGTAGCTGCCAGCCAGTCTGGTGGATGTGAGTGTCTTGGTGTCTGCTCAGCTCCTGGTGGAGCAGGTGACCTATGAAAAGAACCAACCGTTGCTGCAGCAGCTCCACACACACCTTCTGTTCAACTTCAGCATCTGGAACCTGGGAGACTTCCCCCTGCGCATCGGTGAGCTCCTGGGACTGTGTGTGTGGGGGTCTGTGTGTGGGGGTCTGTGTGTGGGGGTCTGTGTGTGGAGGTCTGTGTGTGGGGGTCTGTGTGTGGGGGGTGTTTCACTTGTGTGAGTTGATATGAGTGTGTGTGAGATTGGTTGTAAATCCAGGAACATTTCACCATGCTGTCTATTTTTGGTAACTAACTGCTGCTCTTGTTAGTGTTTTTGTATGTGGTGTGTGCAGGGTCAAAGAGTAACTCATTACGTTTCATCATTTACATGTAATCTGATTACCTATTTTAAATAATTGTTTTTCTGTAATCCGTTATGTTTCTAGCTAAAATATTGTAATCGGATTACAGATGCCTTTGAAAAAACTAGATTACCTCTTGGATTACTTTAAATTCATAAAGGATGTTTGTGAGAAAAAAACATTGACACCTTTCTGTTTTCTCGATGACATTCAATTCAGCATTGAAAAAAGGCGCAAGTTGACCTGAGCAAGTCATAGACCACTATGATGACACACCACATGCGTCAAGTCATAGACCACTATGATGACACACCACATGCGTCAAGTCATAGACCACTATGATGACACACCACATGCGTTTGATGGACCCTTTTTGTATTTTTCTGATGCTACGTTCACGTGCTGGTCGGAACTCTGAAGTTTTCGACTTGCTAACTGGTTGAACACGGCACATGTTATAACTACAACCAGTTAGCAAGTCGGACATTTCAGAGTGTCCTAGTTCCGACTAGAACGGGAACGCGTTATTAATGCCTCTTTTAATGGGGAAGTAATCCAAAAGTAACTGACAGTAATCAGATTAAGTTAGAGTTTGGGTAAACCAAAAGTTATGTTACTGATTACATTTTTGGACAGGTAACTAGTAACTGACAGATTACATTTAGAAAGTAACCTACCCAACCCTGTGTGTGTTAAAGCGTGTGTGACTCTTGTCAATCTTGTTTCTCGTGGTGATGAAGGTCACATCCAGTACATGTCCACTGTCATCAAAGACAACAGGAAGCAGTTCCGGAAGAAATACGGAGTTCAATTCCTACTCGACACCATTCGCCTTTACTACGGGTGGGACTCCATCTCCCAGAATGCTCAGCTTCTGGTTTTTACTCATGATTCATAATTTTCCTACTCTAGCTCTATCTGTTACATGAGATATATATTGTATTTTAATGACTGTTCAAGTTCTACAGTCAAGTTTCAACTTGATTTGTCATAAAATAACATATTAAATATATGTGTTTTTTAATACATTATTTGAACTCTTATCAGTAGGAGTGCCAGCAGGGAGGGAGATATTAGTGAAGACGACAATCGGACCATCCGGGCGTCGCTCTGCGGCCTCCTGAAGTATTACATCAGCAAGGGTATGACCCAGGAGGAGATGCACAGCATTCTGGGATACATCGCCGCCATCGGAGACGAGGAACAGGTGAGGGATGGAGGGATGAACGGACAGATGACGGTCCGTGGCTTGTGTCTGAATCTTTGGCTCTGTTCCAATATCAACACTAATGAAGCCATGTATCGTATCATGGATTAGCATGGATAAAGCAGATCTCCTGTAGTCAGAGGACTCCACTCCCATCTGAGTCCCGTTGAAGAGAAGAGGGTTAATAGAGTATGAAGGACTGAATGTGGAAGACCAACGAGTGCAATTCAATCTCTCTCACTTAATGACCCTCTCTGAATAAACCCAAGTTGTCTTCAATATCCATGTAGTGGAATATCACTTAGGAATCCTATGAGGACCATTGCTGTGGTGCCGATGAGGGAGCAGCTGGCAGCTCTGTGCCTGGCACAGTGGCAAGGGGTGTGTGTTTCCAGCCTGCGGCTACACTAAGGATAGCCCTGGTCCCTGGCCTGCTTTCCCAGCAGTAAGAGCTGGTTCCCCAGACCTCTGGAAGAAAGCTTTCCCCCTAATAGCCTTCGACTGGCTGCTCTGTTTAACTGACTGAGGCAGACCTCTCTGTCTCTCTCAATCTCTCTCAAGGCCCATCCACTCACTTCACACAGGATGTATACGCCGGGCATTCATTGATTATCTGTTTCCTGTGTGTGTGTGACCTCTCCTTCCTTTTCTCCAGCTCTTTTTCCCACTTGTCTTTGCCTCTATACGGTATCCGCTTACATAGGTTTCAAAACGTGGCCTGTGACATCATGGGCTGTGACATCATGACCTGGTCACTGCGGTGTCAAGTGTTCTCCCTCCACCGTTTTGTCTTCTCTCCCATCCTACCCGTTTATTAGGCTGTTCAGTCCCTGAAACCACACTAGTAATTTACTTGCGCTCTCCACTTAACTCGATCCTAGTCTGTGGGTGTGTGTGTGCGCTGTGTCTTGGTGGAGTTGCTAACCAAATGTGTGTGACTATGTGTGCCCCTCTAGCTGTGTGGAGTGATAGAGTTGCTACTAACACTGCTCCAGACCAGTGCTGCCAGGGACCAGCTTTTCCTGCTGCTGTTTGAGCCGGGGGCGGCCGACTCCTGCTACGCCCTACTGCTCAACACCAAACACTCAGACCGCCTCCGAGAGCTCGTCTTCAAGGTGAGGGACCTCATCTCACACACACGCAATACATGGGTATTCAAGGGTCTTGTGGTTTTGAGCGATGGGGCTTCAGAATTTGTCTGTGTTGGACATGGAGAATTTAATGGCCTGGAAATTTTCAAAAAATACATTATTTCACTTTGAAGCTGTGGAGTAGGTTCGGTTGTGCAGATCAGTGAATACTTTCACTAGGCACTATATAAATATGCCATTTAGCAGACGCTTTTATCCAAAGCGACTTACAGTCATGCGTGCATACATTTTTGTGTATGGGTGGTCCCGGGGATCGAACCACTACCTTGGCGTTACAAGCGCCGTGCTCTACCAGCTGAGCTACAGAGGACCCTTCTCTTTCGGACATTGAATGCTGCTAATGTAACTTCATTTAATTGTCTTTGCCGTGTGTGTGTGTGTCCAGATGTTTGACCGCATGCTGCACTGCGACCGTGTCTATGAGAAGAACAAGCAGAGGCTGAAGCTGAGGGAGGTGGGATACTCCGGTCTCACCCTACTCTTCTCTGACCTCCACGTCACCCCCTCCCTCGTCAAGAGCCTGCTCAACCAGGTGCTCCACACAGGTGTGTTACGGTATCCCTCACACCCTGTCAGTGTCTACCATACCATTATTCAAATAGGTTTCTGGGGACTAGATCAATCGATGGTTGGAGACGGCTCCTTCAACAGCCAATCCTCAACGTCATTTTTCAATTCAATTCCATTCAATAAATAGTTATTGTGTCCAAAGGGCAATTCGTTTGCAACATAACAAATACATACAAAAGGCTTAGGACTCCATGCAACAACAAAAAAAGACTATACAAATGTGTTTGGTGATTTTTCTATCTACAGTAACGCAGGTGAAGTGGTTATTAATTTAATTGACCAATAAAAACGAATTAGACCTTTGAAGATGTGGTGTTCAGCCCTTGCGTAGTTTCAATTGGCCGGCTCCTGGCTCGACCCCCGTCACTCCATGGGAGTGTGACTTAGTGAAGCGTTTAGGACAAATTGATTGGCTTGGGGCTCGGGGATGAGGCTGAAGTTGGAGGGAGTGCAGACTGCAGAGAACAGCTCCTCTCCATAAAATAAATGAATGAATGGCTGGAGAGAGAGTCAGGTCCGTTCAGGTCAGAGAAGGAAATCAATATGTTTCTATTATTTCTCCAGTGTGCTTCAGGTTAATGTTTTACCCATTCAGTTATATGGACAGATAAATCAGGGTTATGTTCAGTTGGGTGGAAATGTTTTGAAACAGAGTGAAACAGTGAGGTACTTCCTGAACACACATTCCTGCCTTCCATTGCAAAATGTTTTAGACGGTGTGCCCTGCTGAACATGACCCAGTACTATGGCATGGCCCAACTTGTCACAGAGATGCATTCGATGTGTTTTTCTACTAAATTATATGGGTATGGCTCATCATGTTGACCTTTGACCCCCCACCCCCCTAGATCATGTGGTGAGCTACAAGGACCTGATGTCCCTGGTTCAGCTGACTCACCGGGCCGGGCCCAGCGTACGCCTGCTCGTGTGCAATAGGGTGAGGGAACACACACACACACACACACACACACACACAGAGAGAGAGAGGAAACACACTAACTGATTAATAAGACACACATACAGGTATAAGCCTGTCCTCAGGGTAGAAACAGACATCCTCCTACATACCAGATTTTTGATATCCATAATAATTCATTCACAACATCAACCATGCATGAAATCTTTGAAATTATGGTATTATACAACGTCTTACATTTTAGTCATTTAGCAGACGCTCTTATCCAGAGCGACTTAGTTAGTGAGTGCATACAGTTAGTGAGTGCATACAAGCGAAGCTTGTTCTAAAATACTGTATGTGGCTTTGATCTTCCTAAAGCTCTATTCTCTCCCTCTATACATCCTCCTCTCTCTCCTCCTCCTCCCTCTCCTCCTCCTCCCTCTCTCTCTCTCCTCCTCCTCCCTCGCTCTCTCCCTCCTCCCTGTCTCTCCTTCCCTCCTCCCTCTCCCTCCCGCTTTCTCTCTCCTTCCTCCCCTCTCTCTCTCATCCTCCTCCCTCTCCTTCCCTCCTCCCTGTCTCTCCTTCCCTCCTCATCCTCCTCCCTCCCTCTCTCCTTCCCTCCTCCCTCTCTCCTTCCCTCCTCCCTCTCTCTCCTTCCCTCCTCCCCCTCCTCTCCCTCCTCCTCCCTTCCTCCCCTCTCCTCCTTCCCGCTCTCTCTTCCCTCGCTCCACTCCTCCTCCCTCCCTCTCTCCTTCCCTCCTCCCTCTCTCCTCCTCCTCCTCCCGTCTCCTCTTCCCCTCCTCCCTCCTTCCCCTCCTCCCTCTCCTCCTCCCTCTCTCCTCCCTCCTCTCCTCTCTCCTCCCTCTCCTCCTCTCTCTCTCCCTCCTCCCCTCTCTCCTTCCTCTCCTCCTCCCTCCTTCGCCTCCTCCGTCTCTCTCCTCCTCCTCCTCCCTTCTCTCCTCTCCTCCTCTCTCCTCCTCCTCTTCCGTCCCTCCTCCCCCTTCCCCCTCCTCTGCTCTCTCTCCCCTCCTTCCTCCTCCTCCTCCCTCTCCTCCCTCCCCCTCCCTCTCTCCTCCCTCCTCCTCCCTCCCCCTCAAAAAAAACGAAAAAAAAAAGATCTACAGTTCCCGTCCTCCCTCTCCTCCTTCCGTCTCAGCCTCTCCCTCCTCCTCCTCATCTCTCTCCTCCTCCCCTCTCCTCTCCTCTTCCTCTCTCCTCCTCCCTCCTTCCTTCCTCCTCCCCCCGTCTCCTTGCCCTCTACCTCTCTCTCTCCCTCTCTCCTCCATCTCTCTCTTCCTCTCTTCTTCCCTCCCTGCATCCCTCCTTTTTTCTCCATCCCCCCCAAAAACATATTGAATCGATGATGATGTAAATAAATTGAAACATAAAGTAGGCGTAATACTAATAATACTAATTGAATAGTAACCAGTAACAGGTCAGTAATGTTGAATGAGCATAATGAATACACCGGTATTCACTGCTCTCTCTCCCTCCTCCCTCCAATAATGAATACACCGGTAGCAATATCACTGCTCTCTCTCCCTCCTCCCTCCAATAATGAATACACAGGTAATAATATCACTGCTCTCTCTCCCTCCAATAATGAATACACGGTAATTCCTGCTCTCTCTCCCTCCTCCCTCCAATAATGAATACCACAGGTAATATATCACTGCTCTCTCTCCCTCCTCCCCTCCAATAATGAATAAACACCGGTAATATCAACTGCTCTCTCTCCTCCTCCCTCCAATAATGAATACACCGGTTAGCAATATCACTGCTCTCTCTCCCTCCTCCCTCCAATATGAATACACAGTAATAATATCACTGCTCTCTCTCCCTCCTCCTCCAATAATGAAATAACACAGGTAATAATATCACTGCTCTCTCTCCCATCCATCCCTCCAATAATGAATACCAAGGTAATAATATCACTGCTATCTCTCCCCTCCTCCCTCCAATAATGAATACACAGGTAATAATGATCACTGCTCTCTCTCTCCCCCTCCCTCCAATAATGACATACACAGGTAATAATATCACTGCTCTCTTCCCTCCTCCCTCCAATAATGAATACAACAGGTAATAATCCTGCTCTCTCTCCCTCCTCCCTCCAATAATGAATACCACAGGTAAAATATCACTGCTCTCTCTCCCTCCTCCCTCCAATAATGAATACACAGGTAATAATATCACTGCTCTCTCTCCCTCCTCCCTCCAATAATGAATACACAGGTAATAATATCACTGCTCTCTCTCCCTCCTCCCTCCAATAATGAATACACAGTAATAATATCACTGCTCTCTCTCCCTCCTCCCTCCAATAATGAATAACACGGTAATATACACTGCTCTCTCTCCCTCCTCCCTCCAATAATGAATACACAGGTAATAATATCACTGCTCTCTCTCCCTCCTCCCTCCAATAATGAATACACAGGTAATAATATCACTGCTCTCTCTCCCTCCTCCCTCCAATAATGAATACACAGGTAATAATATCACTGCTCTCTCTCCCTCCTCCCTCCAATAATGAATACACCAGGTATAATATCACTGCTCTCTCTCCCTCCTCCCTCCAATAATGAATACACAGGTAATAATATCACTGCTCTCTGTCCCTCTAGCTGTACCAGCTCCTCCAGTCCCAGCAGGATGCGGCGCGGGAGATCTCCAGGCAGCTGTGCTGGCAGGAGACCCTGATGAGGCTGTTCCTGCGCTCCCCCTGCGAGGGCGGCACGGGGCGGGGCGACGACGCCAGCACCTGCAGCCTGGACCTCAACCTCAGCCGGGGCAGTGGCAGTCGCCTAGAACTACCCCTGGAGAGGAGGGGCCGAGCAGGCAGCGGCGGAAGACTGGTGGATGAAGACCGCCTCAGCATCAGCTCCAGAAGATCAGTGGATAGTCTTGAAAACGGGGATCTACTCTCACTTCTGGACACGCCCGTTAGTCAGATTGGGGAGGGCCAGTTGCTCAAGCCCTGGGCCTCTGGGGTTTCTGGGGGATGGAAAGCAGGGGGGTTGAGTTTGGATCTGTCCCACGTGAGTGCCTACGAGGGCGGGGAGAGCGGCAACCAGACGCCGGGGAGCATGGCCAGCACGCCATCGCCGCTGGACACGTCGGCCAAGGCCTTCCCAGACGCCTCATCGGCGTCCCTCACCGAGGACCGCTTCCTGTTCAGCGATAACATGTCGCTGGGGGAGTCGTTCAGCTGCATCGAGGTGAGACGCCGGCCGGCTGCATCTCAATAGTATATAGTGGCTTCCTCTCCTCCTCAGTCTAGCTAGCCAGTCACAATGGGTCCATCTCAATAGTCTGAAGTGGTTTCCTCTAGGTAGGTGGTTTCCTGAAGACCCTAGGAACAGTTTGGCCAGTCACAGAGGGTCCATCTCAATCGTCTGAAGTGGTTTCCTCTAGGTAGGTGGAAGCTAATTCCTGGTAGGGATCCAGATCCACCCTATTGGTTTCACCTGTAACCTTTTTTTCCATTAGTGAAGAGTAAAGGAGTGGAGGAGAGGAAGCCAATTAAGACTATTGACATACACCCACTGTGGTGCCAGAGTGTTCTTATGGCCCTCAGGTCCTCTGAACCCCCAGCAGACTTTGAATGAAATGTCGATATAAAATGTCACAGCCCCATTAGGCCTCATCTATAGATGGGGAGAATCTCAATTGCGTTTCCTTGACTCCTTGCATCCTCTCTCCTCGTCTCCTTCTCAAAACCCATTGGATGAGAAAGTCAGAGGTCCCTCTGTTTTGGATGGGTTTTGAGAAGGAGGCGAGGAGAGAGGACGCGAGGAGTCAAGGAAATGCAATTGAGATTCTCCCATGGACTGACGTCAGTAGGGCCAGACATGGGGGGGTCAAACCACACCATGGAGGCCTCTGTGTTTCTCTCTATCTGTACCTGGATGTGACTCTCACTGACTCCCTCCTCTCTGTCTCCCCCTAGCGGACGGAGGAGGAGCTGTCTCGCATGCTGCTGGAGATCGTGCTGTGCGTGATGTGGCGCGGCGTGGAGGGCTCGGACGATGCTGCCTGGCTGGAGCGGGGGCAGGTGTTCTCAGCCCTCACCAAGCTGGGCACTACCAACGAGCTGCTGCTGCCTGTTGACCACATCAAGCTCAGGTGGACACAGTGGCATTTCTTGGATTGCCTGCATGGTGACATGACTGTAGTAAGGAGTGGGAACCAGCCTGCATGGTGACATGACTGTAGTAAGGAGTGGGAACCAGCCTGCATGGTGACATGACTGTAGTAAGGAGTGGGAACCAGCCTGCATGGTGACATGACTGTAGTTGATCAATGTGCAATATGTTTAGTGTTCTTTCGCGTCAGTCTTGAAGAGGTGGTTTGGTTCTCGGGTCCTCATTCACATTTTGTTTGACATGTCTTTCTCTCTCTCTCTCTCTCTCTCTCTCTCTCTCTCTCTCTCTCTCTCTCTCTCTCTCTCTCTCTCTCTCTCTCTCTCTCCTCTCTCTGTCTCTCTCTCTCTTCTCCTTCTTCTTTCTATCCTCCCTCATTCTACTTTCCTCCCCTTTCCCTCCCTCCATCCCCCTCTCCTCCCCTCCCTCTTCCCCCGTCACCCCAGTCTGATGGAGAGGATGCTGGAGTGGGCCGTGACTGACAACCGGGAGGCCACGGCAGCCATGTTGCCCCAGCACACAGAGAACGCCGTGCGGCTGCTCCACGTGGTGCAGGACTTCCTGCAGGCCGAGGGCCTGGTCAACCCCACCCTGTGGACAGAGAAGGTTATTAGTGGTAGTAGCAGGATCATTTTAAACCTATTTAATTGAATAACACCATCCAGGTATTTAATTGAAATGTACTTTAGGTGCTGGAGGAGACGGTGACTCTGATGGACAGTCTAATGGTGTGGTACTCATCAGGGACCCAGTGGCTGCAGCTGTCCCAGGTGGGCCTGAGGCTTCTGCTGGGCTTTATGGCCCAGGAAGACCCCCAGGTGAGAAGCTGTCCAGTGTCGCATACCTCAACTTCATAATAATTATAATCTATGCGATTTAGCAGACGCTTTTTATCCAAAGCGACTTAGTCACGCTTGCACACGTAAACTTTCACTCTCTAAACCAGTTGTACTCAAACCTTTTCAGTTTAGGCCCCCTTGAGGGTCACCTGCCTCACCCCAATTCTCATTTAAGGCACCATATCGCCAGCTGTCCCATGGTAATGAACGTGTCGGGAGTCGGGACGAGACAGACAGGCAGGCAGCGTTTCTCAGCCAGTTGAAATCATGAATCAGCTGGTGTCATTTTTATGGATTTATACAAAGAAATTAAGAAAAGGTCAAACGAAACGAAGTGCAGCTAGTTTGCAGTCTTTCCAGCTTCAGTTTGAAGTGATTGTGTTAGCTGTGTTGTTGGCTAGCTCCTCTGAACAACACTGTCCTGACGAGAGAGCACATTTTCTATGCCAGGCGAAATCGCGCCTCATTAGCTCATTGTTATGGATGTATCCAAATAAATGTCACTAGAAAACAGCTTGTGCAAATGAACTGTTGTTATTCTGGCTGCACTGTTTGACGTGACTGTAAATTAGCTGTAGTTGGTTAGCTAGCCAGCAAGGGATAAGAACGTTGCCAGCCAGTATGGCAATAGAACAAAAAGACCGAACGACCAGCCAGTTTGGGTAGCAACCCTAGATTTGTGTCGGGACTAAATCTTGCGGAAGGATGAAATACTGTGATTAAATTAATCAAAAGAAAGTTTTTAATGAAAATATGTCCATTATTTGAATATGTTGGTAAACCCGTTGTATAAAAGTGATAATGCCCTCGAAGCCGGTGTTTGGAGGATATATTGGCACAGTTTGCTGGACCTCGACTTTGTCTCTGGCCTAACAACACCAGTGCCAATATATCCTCCAAACACCGGCTTCTCAGGCATTATCACTTCAAAGAACCATCAGGTGTCCTGTCATCTTATTCAGAATGCTTGTCTTCCTTTTTACCAGGTGTGTGCCTTGGCCACAGCCAAGCTGAACGGCATCCTGCAGACCAAGAGTGTGGAGACTCAGGACGAGGCGTGTTACCTGCTGGGCAAGGTGGAGGGCATCCTGAGACGCTCTGTAGGGGGGCAGACAGAGGAGACCTATATGTGCCTGGTGCCCCTGCTCCGCACGCTGCTCTCCAAGGTGCGTACACACACACACACACACACACGAAGACATGCATGATGAACAATCACAATGAAGTAGGTGAATCCGTATCAAACATTCCAAAGAGGCTTGCTGACTGTTTTCTTAAATAACGGTAAATACACCTTGGCACATAGACAAAACACACCAAGGGTCGGTGTCTAGGACAGAGAGTTACACTAGTCCTGGACTTAAGAGCTATTTCAATGAACAAAAACAAAATGCTTTCGGCCTGTAATATGTCAATACCTCACAACACTTTGTATTATTAGAATGTCTTGTAATATCTGGTGGGGACTGCAGGTGAACAAGCTGCTGTACATGGAGCTGCACCTGCCCCAGCTGCCTGACACCAACGGCAGCCCCTCCTTCTTCGAGGACTTCCAGCTCTACTGCAACTCCCCCGAGTGGAGGGTCTACCTCGACAAATACGTGAGGGACTTGCCCAATGCCTTACTAAGTCATCGCTAATCATTGCATTCAACTCTTGAAGAGCAGAAAGAAATGTGTTGAGAAATTGAAGATCAACCTTAAAGATGAGAAAAAAACGAGATCATTTCTGAGAAATCTGTCAAAACCTCCAGTGCCGAAGGGAGCGAGTTTGAGATGAAGAAATAATGACTTTTGATTCCCCCATTTAATTGGTTCTCTCTGTCCTCAGATCATCCCCTATATGAAGCAGTATGAGATTGAGACGTTTAGCCAGGGTCACGAGACCATGGCTCTGTTCTGGAAGGAGTGCTACGAAAGCTTCATGGTCAACCTGCACAAGAGAGAGAGGGAGCGGGGGGAGAGCAAGATACGCTTCCAGGTGACACACACACACACACACACAGATACACACACACACACACAGATACACACAGACAGACAGATACAGACAGACACACAGACACACAGACACAGACAGACACATAGACCGACAGACAGAAACACACACACACACAGACAGACAGACAGACAGACAGAAACACACACAGACACACACAAACACACACAGGAGTAAGATCCACTTTCTAGTGAGCTACGTATAATAATGCTGTAACATGGAAATGTAACGTCAGGCCTCAGTAACACAAAGCATATTGCCTTGTGGTGTGCTACACACCCGAACACTGACTCCCCTTTCCTTACCCCGCCGTCCCTCAGGAGCAGTTTGTGGAGCCCTTCTCTCGGCGCGGGAGGCAGGAGAACCTGCGCTACAACAGCATGCTGAAGCAGCTTCACAGCCAACACAGCGCCGCCCTCAGGCAGTGGAGAGCAGCGCGGCGTGGCCTGGTGTGCGAGCGAGGGCCCTGGGCAGACAGGTAACGGCCAGACACGTGATATTTAGTATAATGTATACACTATTATATAGAATAAATGTTTATGTAATATGTCTAATAATAATCTAATATATATGTTTATGTATATGTAATTACTTCAGCACCACGGCAAACACATGATCAGCCAAAGAACTGTTGTCCACTGTCCTCTAGTCAATCAATCCATTCAATCAATCAATCAATCCAGTTTATTTTATAAAGCCCTTTTTTTACATCAGCATTTGCAACAAACTGCTTTACAGATACCCAGTCTAAAATCCCAAAGAGCAAGCAATGCAGAGGCAGAAGCATGGTAGCTTGGAAAAACTCCCTAGAAGACAAACTCCCCAGAATATTTTCTGGGTATCTCTCTTATGTTCAGTTTGTTCTTCAGTTCATGAAACTTGGTTGAAGTTCTCCTGTCTGTTGTTTTCTCAGGCAGCAGAGTGAGATGCACTGGCGAGTGTCCAGCGCAGAGAACTACTCCCGCATGAGACTCAAACTGGTGCGCAGCTACAACTATGACGACCACCGCCAGGCCAGCGCTCTCAGGGACAACCTGGGTAAGAGAGGCAGCTTCTCTGGTTCCCCTAACAAGGCATCGCTGGAATCTGAATAAACCACCATGTTGCTGCAGACACTGACCCTTCTCGCCTTCCTCCTCCTCTTCTTCATCTTCTTCATCCTCCCCCTCCTCCTCTTCCTCTTCTTCATCCTCCTCTAACTCTTCCTCCTCCTCTAACTCTTCCTCTTCTTCTTCCTCCTCTAACTCTTCCTCCGCCTCTTGTTCCTCCTCTTCTTCCTCCTCCTCTATCTCTTCCTCTTCTTCCTCCTCCTCTTGTTCCTCCTCTGCTTCCCCCTCCTCTAACTCTTCTTCTTCCTCCTCTTCCTCCTCCTCTCCCTCGTCCCCCAGGTGTCCAGCAGCAGAGGATGACAGCTGAGTCCTTACTGCTGGAGGCAGTCAAGCAGGTGAAGGTCAGCGACCTGGAGGATGACATCCTGGAGCTGCCTGAAGACGACCCTGCAGCGACCAACAACACGTCAGTACACTCTCAACATTGGCTAGAATTGTTCTGTATTGTGTTTTGTGTCTGCTGTAGACTGTTGGGTGGCTTTGACTGCAAACGTGAATGGACATGTTCACCTGTCTGTCTGTTTCTCTCTCTCTCTCTCCAGGGGTGAGGTGGAGGAGGCAGGCCAGAAGGAGAAGCTGGTTCTGTGGGAGGACTGTGAGCTGGTCACCCAGGTGGATGTCAGCCCTGGACGTCTGGAGCTCACCACCCAACACATCTACTTCTATGACAGCAGCACCGAGAAGGAGGAGGGTGAGGAGGGAAGAGGGAGAGGAAGATAGGAGGGACGTGGGGGTTAGAGGAAGAGTTGTCCAGAAGGAGGAGGGTGAGGAGGGGAGAGGGAGAGGAAGATTGGAGGGACGTGGGGGTTAGAGGAAGAGTTGTCCAGAAGGAGGAGGGTGAGGAGGGAAGAGGGAGAGGAAGATTGGAGGGACGTGGGGGTTAGAGGAAGAGTTGTCCAGAAGGAGGAGGGTGAGGAGGGAAGAGGGAGAGGAAGATTGGAGGGACGTGGGGGTTAGAGGAAGATTGTCCAGAGAGGAGGATGAGGAGGGAAGAGGGAGAGGAAGATAGGAGGGACGTGGGGGTTAGAGGAAGAGTTGTCCAGAAGGAGGAGGGTGAGGAGGGGAGAGGGAGAGGAAGATAGGAGGGACGTGGGGGTTAGAGGAAGAGTTGTCATTAGTAAGAAAGAGAGTGAAAGGAAGGCTGCAGATGGGTGAGCGAGTGGAGCAGGAGTTGATAAACCAGAGGTTATAGATGGGTTATGACCAGGCATGTACAATAGATACATACTACACTGTTAAATGCTCTCATTGTGTTGTCTTAGACATAGAAGTGCAGCTGCTCCCACATGCAATACACCTCACATATTAATACATCATGTAATGTAGGGTTATGATTAGGGCCTGGAGTTTTCCTATGGTCAGGTCCCTAGTTAGGTCAAACTCCTGGCCCTATGTATAATACATAACCAACCCCCTTTGTCCTTCTCTGTCCTCCTGTCCCCCCGCCCGCCCATCCGTCTCTGTCCCCGTCCGTCTGTCCCCCCTCCCGTCTCTGTCTCCTCCTGTCCATCAATCTGTCCCCCCTCCACTCCTGTCCCTCTGTCCGTCCCTCTGTCTGTCCTTCCAGGTGTTGGTCAGGACTTTAAGTGGCCTCTATCTCAGATCCGGGAGATCCACCTGCGCAGGTACAACCTCCGCCGCTCTGCCCTGGAGATCTTCCTCATAGACCAGACCAACTACTTCCTCAACTTTAAGAAAGAGGTAAGGCCTGTTCTGGGATCTGTTTTTTATATGGATTGAGAACGGTGTACCCCCATCCATTTCACTACTTGCTCTATTCCAGAACTAGCAGATTCAAGTCATCAAGGGCTAGTCCTGGAATAGCTAAAATCAGTAGATGGGGGGTGTTTGAGGAGAGGTTTGGGAAACAGTTATGTAGAAGAAATGACTAAATAGGCCTGGAGTACTGGGGTGTGTTGAGTACGGTGAAACGTTAAGAGCGTTGCAAATGGAAATGGGACAAATAGAACCTGTACTACTCCCTATTCTACATGACAGACAATCATATCTGTTCTACATAATATATTTCGATCTGACCATTCTGAAAGGTTTCGCACTTTTGAACAGAACCCTCATGTTGGAATCTTCCGTGTGGTTTGATTGACAGGTGCGGAACAAGGTGTACAGCAGGATGCTGCTGCTGCGCTCCCTCAGCCTGTACGGTACACGCTCACCGCAGGAGCTGCTCAAGGCCTCCGGACTCACACAGGTCAGGGGTCAAAAGTTCACCTGGGAGATCAGGGTCGTGTTCTGTAGAGAGAAAGTGGTTTGAAACGGAGTGAAACAGGGTGATACTCCCTGAACTGGTCTAATGAGAACATTATTATTATTAATTTTTTTGCAGAACATTTTGTTACGTTGTACCCTACTGAGCATGACCCATGTTAAGTAGTCAAGTGTTGACAGGTTTTGTTAAACCCCTCTCTCTCTTGTCTTTGGTAGAAATGGGTGAACCGAGAGATGACCAACTTTGACTACCTGATCCAGCTGAACACCATCGCGGGCCGAACCTATAACGACCTGTCTCAGTACCCAGTGGTACGTTCCGTTAACACGGACCCTATGGGGGAAGATGTGGAATATACCATCTTGGTGATCTGTTAAGGGGTGTTGATAATTTAGTTTAATTGTGTGTGTGTGTATCCAGTTTCCCTGGATCCTGTCGGACTACACATCAGAGGAGCTGGACCTGACAGACCCACGGGTGTTCCGGGACCTGTCCAAGCCAGTGGCCGTACTCAATGAGCGGAACGCCAAGGCTGTCCGGGAGAAGTACGTTCTCTCAAAACGTCTCTCACTGAGCCACTGCTGCTTCTACATACCTGCATTACGTGACATGTTCCAGGGTGGCAGTGTGTTCATTACTTCTCTTCACTGCACAAGTGTCCTCGTCCATAGAATTAGACTTACTACAATAGAGCACTTTATTACCGTTGAGGAAATGTCTCTTTTGAGGGCGATAATTGTATTCTATTCTAGTAAATATAGTAAGTAATTGTAATGTTAAGTCCACGTCTCCCTGTCTGTAGGTATGAGAGTTTTGAGGACCCCACGGGGACCATCGACCGGTTCCACTATGGTACCCACTACTCCAACGCAGCAGGAGTCATGCACTATCTCATCCGCGTGGAACCCTTCACGTCCCTCCACATCGCATTACAGAGTGGACGGTAAGCAATGGGTTTTGGTAAAGGGGTAATCAGACTAGAAAACTCAGGCCAGAAGTTAACAGCATTAAAGTCCTGAGGGTTATCAGGGCTGGGGTTGTACCAGTCAAATTGCTGTGGTCTGAGCAGCTTTGTCCGTTCTAGTCATTCTAGTTCTGTGATTACACATGTATTCCAACTGACAATCAAATGTATCTATGCTCTTGTCTGGAGAGGTGCTATTGTACTGATGTCAGTCAGGCCAGAAGTCTTTCCCTCACCGAGCTCTAGCCTTACTAGATCCACAGTTTGTCTTGGTCAGGTCACATGGTCAGCAAAACCATCCTGTCTTTAGTACTATGGCATAATTGAAGACCATTGGCTGTTGGTGTTCCTCCCTCGGTCCAGGTTTGACTGTGCGGACCGTCAGTTCCACTCCATCCCAGCTTTGTGGCAGACCCTCATGGACAACCCCAACGACGTCAAGGAGCTCATCCCAGAGTTCTTCTACTTCCCAGAGTTCCTGGAGAATCAGAACGGTGAGATGAGTTCTGTGTCTGTAGAGAATCACAGACACACTGGCTATGTTGATTGACTGTCCATACTAGCACGCCACATGCTGTGGTGTTCACACAGTCCATCAGAGAACATCTGGATTCATCTCTACTGGACCGGTTCAGATTTTGTCAGTTGCGTTCAGATTGTTGAACACTGGAACCTGTTCCAATCGGACGAAATCTAAAACTGACCCAATTACACCATGAATCGTAAAAACTGAGAATCTCATTTTAAAACTGGATTTTGTCCATTTTATTTTTATCAAGTCACACTGCCAGACTGATGGAATCCACCTTCCCTCCACTGTCCTCTGTTCATCTCCTCCTCTCTCATTCCCTCTAGCCTTTGATCTGGGGCGCCTGCAGATCTCCAAGGAGAGGGTGAATGACGTCATCCTGCCTAAATGGGCCAAGTCTCCAGAGGACTTCATTTATAAGCACAGGAAAGCCCTGGTGAGCCTCCTTTTCTCATGGACAGTCACCATTACCATACTGCTTTAAACCCAAGGGGGAAAAACCTCTCTTAACTCAATAGGATCACCCACATTCCTTTACAATGAGGTGCAGGAGAAATGCATTCCACAGAGTAGTATTTAGTGATTAGTTGGTGTGGGTGGTATATGTGTGTGTCTTTCTGTGTTTGTGTTTTATTGCTCATGTGTGTTGTGTAACAGGAGTCGGAGTACGTGTCGGCCCACCTGCAAGACTGGATCGATCTGATCTTCGGTTACAAACAGCGAGGCCCCGCGGCCGTGGAGGCACTCAATGTCTTCTACTACTGCACCTACGAAGGTACGGACGCTATCACTACACCCATAGACTCCCACTCATACAATAGCACTGATGCTAAAGAAACGCTGCACCTACGAATGTACAGACGCTAACACTAAACCCATAGACTCCCACTCATACAATAGCACTGATGCTAAAGAAACGCTGCACCTACGAAGGTACAGACGCTAACACTAAACCCATAGACTCCCACTCATACAATAGCACTGGTGCTAAAGAAACGCTGCACCTACGAAGGTACAGACGCTAACACTAAACCCATAGACTCCCACTCATACAATAGCACTGATGCTAAAGAAACGCTGCACCTACGAAGGTACAGACGCTAACACTAAACCCATAGACTCCCACTCATACAATAGCACTGATGCTAAAGAAACGCTGCACCTACGAAGGTACAGACGCTAACACTAAACCCATATACTCCCACTCATACAATAGCACTGATGCTAAAGAAACGCTGCACCTACGAAGGTACAGACGCTAACACTAAACCCATAGACTCCCACTCATACAATAGCACTGATGCTAAAGAAACGCTGCACCTACGAAGGTACGGACGCTAACACTAAACCCATAGACTCTCATTGATACAATAGCACTGATGCTAAAGAAACGCTAGACCTACAGTATATTACTATATTATGGCACTTTACTAAAGCGTTTGTCTCTGGTTTTGCTGTAGGGGCAGTGGACCTGGATGCCATCACTGATGAGAAGGAACGTAAAGCTGTAGAGGGGATGATCAGTAACTTTGGACAGACTCCCTGCCAGCTGCTCAAGGTACTGGAAAACACAGTCTTGACCTGACCAGGAAAAACCTCCAGGCCTTCCTCATGAGATGAGCCCTTTGGAACACTAATTGATGAACCGGTTAATTAGGAATCATTGGGAATGAGGTTTTAACGGGTTGTTTAGAACAGTGATTCTCATCTCCGGTCTTTGAGTACCTTCAACAGTACTCATTATTGTAACCCCAGACAAACACCTTATTAAACTAGTCAATAGCTTGATGATTAGTTTGGCCAGGGCTACAACAAAAATGAGTGCTAGTGGGGGTACTCAGGGATCTTAACTGAGAAACACTGGTTTAGAATAGGTGTTTTAGATGTAGGTCTATAAGTCAAATCAAATGTTATTTGTCATATACACGTGTTTAGCAGATGTTATTGCGGGTGTAGCGAAATGCTTGTGCTTCTAGCTCCGACAGTGCAGTAATATCTAACAAGTAATATCTAACAATTTCACAACATATACCCAATACACACAAATCTAAGTAAGGAATGGAATTAAGAATATATAAATATATGGACAAGCAATGACAGAGCGGCATGGACTAAGATACAGTAGAATATTATAGAATACAGGATATACATATGAGATGAGTAATGCAAGATATATAAACATTATTAAGTGACTAAGATACAGTAGAATAGTATAGAATACAGTATATACATATGAGATGAGTAATGCAAGATATGTAAACATTATTAAAGTGACAAGTGTTCCATTTCTTAAAGTGGCCAGTGATTTCTATAGTGATGGATTGTCTGTGTGTATAGGAGCCACACCCTGTACGTCTGTCTCTGGAGGAGGTGGAGAAGAGGAAAGTTCGACTAGACGCCTCGCCCCTCAGCATCTTCGAGCACCTTACCGAACTCAAGTCCTTCTTTGTCGAGGTTCGATTTTACACACACACACAAAGCATATGATCATGACCCTCTTTGTTGGTTATTGTAAAGCAATTTATAAAAACTGTTTATAAAAAAAAAAATGACTTCATATATAAATGTGATTGATTTTGTAGGGGATTAGTGACGACATGCCTCTGGTGAAAGCCGTGGTCCCCAAGAACCAGTCCCACTCCTTCATCACCCAGGGCAGCCCAGACACTATGGTGACCCTGAGTCAGAACTGTCTGATGGGGACACACGGCTGGCTGCCTTACGACAAGAACATCTCCAACTACTTTACCTTCATCAAGGACCCCACCGTGGCCAACCCCAAGTGAGTCCCTCCCCAGTACCTCCCCCTTTCTACTTGAAACTGTGGTGCATTGTGGTCTGACTGGGAGACTGGAGCCCTGGTCGACTTCTTATAAAACATGTCCTTCCTACCTCAATTCCTTGAAGTAATCACTAATCTGAAAAAGTTTGATTTGTGACAGCAGTATGAAGGATACTCTGCCATGGCGTATCCAAGCACATACAGATCTGTGATTACCTCAAGAATGGGACGAAGGAATAATGCACTTTAAATGTTTTGGAACATAGCCTTGGAAGGCACTTGAGGCCAATACTTGGTCATAAAGTTATTCTGTGAGTTATGTATCCATTACAGAATCTGATGTCTCCTCTTCTCTCTGCTCCTCCCCCTCTCTCTAGGGCCCAGCGGGTCCTGGGCGGGCCCTTCTCTCCGGGCGTGGAGGTGACGGCAGGTCTGTTTGTGGTGTCACATGACGGGAAGCTCCTGTTCAGCGGTGGCCACTGGGACAACAGCCTGAGGGTCACCTCCCTGGTCAAAGGAAAGACTGTGGGACAGCACATCAGACACATGGGTAAGGACGGATCTCACAAACACACGGACGTGCACACGCACATACATGCACTCAGACACACACACTGTCTGGACATACAGTATAGTAACTACTTGGTGTTACCTCGAATCCATCTCGAGAAAGATAACGAGATAGCCTCGCGAGAGCGTCGGAGAGCTCTAACGAGCCACTAAAAAACTAAAATCTGTAGTATCGAGATCTCACTCTACTCCCTCTCTGCCCTCTCCTCTCCTAGCTCGCTCGCTCGATCATATCTCCTCTCTCTCCCTCTCATATCGCTCTCTCTCTTCTACATCTCCCTCTCTACTCTATCTCTCTCTCTCTCTCTCTCTCTCTCTCTACTCTCTCTCTCTCTCGCTGCTACTCTCTCTCTCTCGCTACTCTGCTACTCGTCTCTCTCTCTCTCTCTCCCTCTCTTCTCTCTCTGCAGACATAGTGACGTGCCTGTCGACAGACTACTGTGGGATCCACTTGATCTCCGGCTCCAGGGACACCACCTGTATGGTGTGGCAGGTGCTGCAGCAGGTGAGACCATGAAGCCTGGGGGTTTATTGGAATACACTACACTGACTAGAAAGCATTTGTACTGCATTGTTACTGTGGAAACGTTTGATGTTAGTACCCTCTGTTCAGTAGGCAGGAGAGGTTGTGAAAGAGTGAAACAGATTGAAACAAATTCAGATTTCCGTTTTCGGTTGCAAACCGTTTTGCTACAGTGTGCCCTACTGAACACTACCCAGGCATATGAGTGTGTGACTGAATTTTTTGTGTGTCCTACAGGGAGGCTGTCCAGTGGGGCTGTGTCCCAAGCCAGTACAGGTGCTGTATGGACACACTGACGAGGTGGTGAGCGTCAGCATCAGCACAGAGCTGGACATGGCTGTCTCTGGATCACGGGTAAGAGGCTGGATGGATGGATGAAGAGGTTGGAGGGCTGGATGGATGATGGATGAAGAGGTTGGAGGGTTGGATGGATGGATGAAGAGGTTGGGTTGGTTGGATGGATGGATGGATGAAGAGGTTGGGTTGGTTGGATGGATGGATGGATGAAGAGGTTGGGTTGGTTGGATGGATGGATGGATGGATGAAGAGGTTGGGTTGGTTGGATGGATGGATGAAGAGGTTGGAGGGGTGGATGGATGGATGAAGAGGTTGGAGAGGTGGATGGATGGATGAAGAGGTTGGAGGGGTGGATGGATGGATGAAGAGGTTGGAGGGGTGGATGGATGGATGAAGAGGTTGGAGGGTTGGATGGATGGATGGATGAAGAGGTTGGAGGGTTGGATGGATGGATGGAAGAAGAGGTTGGAGGGGTGGATGGTTGGAGGAAGAGGTTAGAGGGGTGGACAAATTGATAAAGAGAAGTTTGAAGGGTTGGTGGATAGATGGATCTTGCTTTGCTGATTTTGTGTCTGTTTCTGTGCACTAGGACGGGACGGTGATCATCCACACGGTGCGTCGGGGCCAGTACATGCGGTGTCTGCGGCCTCCCTGTGAGAGCTCCCTGCCTGTCTCCATCCTGCACCTGGCTATCTCTTATGAGGGGTGTGTGGTGGTTCACACCTGTATAGAGGGCAAGGCCACGCTCAAGGTTGTCTTACAACTCACACATTGTCTTAATCGTTTATTTAGTTAATTTGTCATTGAAAATGTCACGATTGTCTTCTCTAAAATCTTCAAATGTGTTTTGGTGCAGGAGACACATTTCCATCTGGACTAATGATAAAGACCATCTATCTTATCTATCGTGTTTATTAGGTGGTTGTGTATTTAGTTACTTAGGCTGCGTTTAGACGGGCAGCCCAATTCTGATCTTTTATTCACTCATTGGTCTTTTGACCAATTAGATCAGCTCTGAGAAAGATCTGATGTGATTGGTCAACGGACTAATTAGTGGAAAAAAGATCGGTATTGGGCTGCCTGTGTGAACGCAGCCATAGCGAGTTACGTAGTGAGTTACTTAGTTAGCTACTTAGTGAGTTACTTAGTTACTTATTGAGTGAGTTACTTAGAGAATGAGTTACTTTGAGAATGAGTTACATATGGAGGTGGTTAGTTACTTATCGAGGTGGTTAGTTATCGAGTTGGTTAGTTACTTATTGAGCTGGTTAGTTAGTGAGTTTTTTAAGTTCGATACTTATTGAGTTAGTTACTTAGAGAATGAGTTACAAATTGAGTTGGTTAGTTACATATCGAGTTGGTTAGTTACATATCCAGTTGGTTAGTTACATATCGAGTTGGTTAGTTACAGATTGAGCTGGTTAGTTAGTTACTTAGGGAATGAGTTAGTTACTTAGTGAGTGAGTTAGTGAGTTACTTAGAGAATGAGTTGGTTAGTTACATATAGAGTTGGTTAGTTACTTATTGAGCTAGTTAGTGAGTTAGAGAATGAGTTAGTTACATATTGAGTTGGTTAGTTACTTATTGAGTTGGTTAGTGAGTTACTTAGTGAGTTTGTTAGTGAGTTACTTAGTGAGTTACTTAGTGAGTTTGTTAGTGAGTTACTTAGTGAGTTTGTTAGTGAGTTACTTAGTGAGTTACTTAGTGAGTTTGTTAGTGAGTTACTTAGTGTGTTACTTAGTGAGTTTGTTACTTAGTGTTACTTAGAGAATGAGTTATTTGCTTAGTGACTGACCTTAGTAGTTTGTGAGTTCGGATGTATGACGTACTGCACCATGATGCTTAGCAAAACGCTAGTTAACCACTAGTTGTCCTAGATGGTATATTATGATTAGGTCCTGGTGAATGATTGTCTATGATCCTGTCTCTGCAGGATAAGAACGGCCTGCACCTGTACTCTGTCAATGGGAAGCACCTGTGTACAGAGGGCCTGAAGGAGCAGGTGACAGACATGTGTGTGTCCGGGGATTACCTGGTTATCGGCAGCGAGCAGGGCTTCCTCTCCATACGAGACCTGTACAGGTAACCTTGTTTCCTGTGTTTGTCTGTCTGTGTGCACGACTGCACGCATGCATATACAGGGTTTTTTCTGGATGAAAAAGGGGCTTAGGTGGTGGGCGTGGCAATGGGCCCGGCTGCACTGCTGATTTTTAGATACTTTTTTAAGCTAATTACTTTATATCTGGTTTTAGTCGTTTAAGTTTACACTGAAAGCAGTTTTCCTAAAAACACACGTAGGCAGCCCTCCCGAGGATCTTAGTGGTAGAAAAATCCCTGATAAATGTATCTGTCTAACTCAACCCTTCTCTCGGTCTTCCCTGTCTCTCCCCCGGGCAGCCTGTCCCTGTGCGCCGCCCCCATGGCCATGCGCGTGCCCGTGCGCTGCGTGTCCGTCACCAAGGAGCAGAGCCACGTGCTGGCGGGCCTGCAGGACGGCAAGCTGATCATTGTGGGCGTGGGCAAGCCGGCCGAGGTAAAGAGCTCATTCAGAAATTACATCGCCCAGAGCCTGGAGGGCTCACCCCTCATGGCAATGCCACTGCTCGCCCCGCTGAGGGTGCGCTCGCCAGCCCGACGGCTGAGCCTCCGGGACAAGTTCATGTTTAACCCCCAGGGCCCTAACCCCTGACCCCCTGAGCAGAACACCCCCTGCCCCCACCCCCTCAATTAAATTCAAATATGTATTTTTATTTACCTCAGAGGGAACTTCATGAACTCACCCTAGAAACTACCACCTCATACCCTTCTCTCTCTGTTTTGGTGCCAAGAATTAGTCCTAAATGACCTGCCCTTCCTTAGCCACATTCACCTTGGTTGTGTTCATTAGGCACCAACGGAAGAAAACTGACTGAAACAGCAGAGGGGCTACCTGGACTTTTTCCCATTTTCTGTTGTAAGACTTGTAGACATTTTAAAGAATGTTCCGTTGCGTGCCCTAATGAACATGATGCCCCAGAGTGAGCAGGCCCTGGCCCATTCTCGCCCTGCAGGGATTGGTGACCACACACACAGTCAGTATTACTTGAGACATTCCATAAGCCCCCTCTGAATGAATACAACACAATAGGACTGTGATATGAAATATTACTGTGATGTGAAAACACGGTCTTCTGTTTCCCTCATTCTAACCGAGATTTGACTTATTTTTGGGCCTTGGGATGGTGTTGTCCCATATTGTTTACCGGAAGTGTGGTGACTATTGTTTGACTGATTTAATATGTATTTGTGACAAATGCTGTGAATTGCCTTGGATGAACACCTCTGCAAATTCAAGCCATATGAACGATATTAATAATAAGCTATGATATAATAAGATGCACTAGGCTATCATTTATTCCCCCCTGCTCCTCAAGTGAAAATGGTTTAACCCTGATTGTCTTTCTGCTCCTCAAGTGAAAATGGTTTAAACCTGATTTCTTCCTCCCTACTGTTCTGAAGTAAGGTTAACTCTAGGGCTGTTATTATGAGATGTTATGGGATAGGGAGGGACACAGGGAATCACCCTCGAATCAAAGGATCATTTGATCCCCTCCCAGCTTCTCTCACCTTTCTTTTATACAAATCGACCCACCTCAAAGTGAATCAAGGCTTTGATTTTGAACGGACACTAAGTCATTCAAGCATTTCTGTACTAACCGATCACTCATAAATCATATCCTACTTTGTTTGTTTCTTTTTGTTACTTTTGACTTCACACTTTCCTCTCCTCCTCCTCCTCCGTCTCTCCTCCTCACTTCCTCCTCCTTTCCTCCACTCTTCTCAGATGCGTTCAGGCCAGATCACTCGTAAGCTGTGGGGCTCCAGCAAGCGCCTGACCCAGATCTCCTCGGGAGAGACAGAGTACCAACCAGCCTGCAACCAGAACTGACCTCACAACCACCCCTTCCACCACCCCTTCCACTACCACCACGCCCCCTCACCCTGCTGCCTGCCTGATTGGCCCGCCAGCCCTGCCAATCATCACATTCTACCCAATCAGATTGAACCACCCATTGTTTTGATTGACTGATGACTGTTTTGGGGGAATCTTACTCTCCTTTTCTGTTCCTCCCTCTGACTTGGGAAGGACAGACTGACCCACGAGCGGGTGGAAGACAGGTTGCATGTTTGTGTTTGTTTGTGTGTTTTAACTGTGTGTGAAGGTTGGGCGGATGTGTAGGACCATAGGGCAGGTCAGGACGGACCAACCGGCGCGGGCGTCGAGTTTCTGATCCAACTGTAGGTGCATGCATCCCCTCACACACACACCAAACTCCTACCTACCCCCTTATCCCACCCCAACCCATCCCCTTCAATGACACCCATGGCCATTACTCTTCATCTTCCTCCATCATCATCATCACTAGCACGGTCAGTTCCGTGGTTCCCACTACTACAGAGCCCCTCTATGCAGACACACACTACAGCAGTCTGAGATGACCTCTGACCCCTCCACCTCTCAGGCCCAAGGAAAGAAGGGGATCCCCAACATAGAAATATAATTACTCCAATGGGAACACTTCATATGGTTGACGGTCCACCCATCACATAACACTGACTTCAATGGGAATTTCTGTTCTAGTAATTATATTTCTCTGGTCACCAAGATTACCCACTTCTCTAAACCCTGAGCCCGAGACCACTGAGCGTGTGTGTATGTACGCTGTTTTTGTTTCTGTGTGTTATCTCTCGCTGGTTGTTTTCTCCAGTGGCCTTTGTTGACTTGGTTTTGCCTTCCAGTCTGACTAGGCTGTGACCGATGCCTCAGGGCTCCTATCCTATGCAGCGATATGCAGCAGTAAGGGGCTATGTTCAGTCACAATACAATGTTTTTGTTTAGTTTTTTGTGTTTGATGTTACTGATAATTTGTTTAGTTCTTTTACAGATGTGTTCAAGGTGTGTGGTTAGGTTAGGTTGTATTTTGCGTGGAATTTCTGGCCCACTCCTCGCTTAGTATAGAGGACGGGGCTCTAGGGTAGCTAACACTCGTACTAAGCCTAACACACACACTTGTTTGCTAATGTTCACATGCATAGACTCCTCCCTATTGGAGAAGCCTCTGATTGCGTTCCAGGTCACCTCTATTGCAGCCGTGCTACACTTCTCAGTAGATTTCTAAATCACATTCATGTGGTTCCTGAGATGTTGAACACTTCTCCAGGCGTTGTGAGATCTGATAATCGGCAATTAAGACGAACTGGAGCGCACCCAAAGTCTGCTAGTTTGACACTACAGAGGAAGAGAGAGGCCTAGTGTTGTAGAATCACTACCTACACCATACCGTGCCCATAGGACTCGCTACCCTCGAACACTACACTCTTACACACACTGCAAGCTTCTCACATAGCCCATCACTACACATGTGTTAGACCATGTGCTTTGGAGGGACGAACCATACTGAACCTGGTTTAGTGTGCAATGTTTAGCGCTAGATTCATCCTAGAATGTTTTTACGTTACTTGAATCAATGTTTATTTATGAATGAAAACTAGCTTCTTTTTTTTGTCGTAGGCTATTTAAATTCACACAACATTATTCGTATGTTTTTAAGTGATGCTTCAGTTGTTCAACAAAGATTTATGTGGCGAAAAACTCACAGTGGATTAATCCACCTTTCAGAACGGGAGGGGAGACTTTCTAAGGGCTTTTGAGATGTCAGTGTTACACCAATACAGTTCCTTCCTCTGCTCCGGTGACTGTACATTGGTACATTCCAGCCTCTTCTTGTCAAGGCTGAACTAAAAAAAAAAATCCAGTCTTCCTGGTTTTTCTGACAGGGACGACACGTTTGGGAGATGAGACTTATTCTGCTAAGGGATGGCCCAATCGGCTGTCTTCTTCTAACAGTCAGAATCACCTCAGTGTTCCTCCTCCTTCCATAATTGGCTCTTAGTTGGGAGCCATGTCACCATGATGTCACCCTTCTGTTTTCAGTTCCACTTACTGATGGATGTTATAGGATCTAGCCTGGTTAAACCAGACTGAATGCTGCCCTCACCATTGTTTTGTAGCACAATCAGTTTGGATCCCAGGCTAGTTAAGGTCCTCTGGAGTTCCATAAATGCAGTAATGTCACTAAACATGTGTCTGTGAACGAGGCCTAATGTGGCTTTTGAGATTTATTGTGTGTTTGTATGTCTGTGTGTTTGAGATTATGAATGATGCCCCCCCCCCCCCCATAGAATCCTTCTGGGTTTTATGCTCCTGTCAAATCAAAAGGACAGTTTGGTCCAGGGTAGGTCATCTGTTGCATAATGTGAGTGGATGTGTTCATGATGACAGTCATTGTTTTAAATGCCAAATTCCTTATTTCCTTGTTATATCATTATGGATGTTGATGAAGACACCATGGTGGAAACCACCATGTGAGGCATCATGTCATTTGCCTTCTTGATAATAATTAAATGATGATTCTGGTTATTATCTATCATGGATTTAGAATCATTCATTCTGATTCTATGGTGGTTATAGATTAGGGATCTGACTTCTCTGTGCAGTGTGGTTGTTTTTTTCTTTGGTCTTCTCTTTGAAGTGTCTCCGCAATCTGTCCGGAGATTACAATCACAGACCAACTTGTGCCCTTTTTTTTAACAAGAGGCAGTTTTCCTTATGTTTATTTTTAATTGTTTATGCTGATGTGTGTCGATAGCATACTCCTTTAATCAGTTTCCATTCTCATTGGGGTGTGTTAATTAATAATTTTTTCCGAAGGATGTATTTAATAAATTTTTATATTTTTGTCAATCTTAGTTTATCAGTCAGACAAGATCACCATCTTGTTTTAGGACTTACTTCCAACCCCACCACTGAAATAAATGGAGTGCCTTTTTGTCCACATTGCACCATACAGTCAATTATCCGGTTAGGGTGCAGAATTCCTTGTTACCTCTCCCTCCTCCATGAAAACCCATGGATAGCAGCATTCCACAAACTTACCATCCATGGGAACCAAGACCTCTAAAGAAAGTTGACTAAAGATCTGCAATATATTGGTGTCTTACCTTAGCTGCTTGCTCTGTGACTGTCACCAAAATGGATGTGTGTGTATATCTGATTTATAAATAATGTACAGCATGATTTTTATTTTAGTGGATTTTAAATGTACTCTTTGCACTTTCCAGGTACTAAATTGTAACTTGATTGTTTTGAACGTCTCCCAGGTCCATTCTGTACAGACAAACTGCTTTGTATACACAAGTGGAAAGTAATCATTAAAGTCTTGTCAAAAATTAATATGTATGGCTGATTGTAGAGGGGGGAAACAGGACTCATGAGTGTACAAAACATTAGGAACACCTTCCTAATATTGAGTTGCACCCACTTTTACCATCAGAACAGCCTAAATTCGTCGGGACATGGACTCTACAAGGTGCCGAAAACATTCCACAAGGATGCTGGCCCATGTTAACGCCAATGCTTCCCACAGTTGTGTCAAATTGTCTGGGTGTCCTTTGGGGTGGTGGACCATTCTTGAAACACACAGGAAACTGTTGAGCGTGAAAAACCCAGCAGCGTTGCACTTCTTGACACAAACGGGTGCGCCTGGCACCTACTATCATAACCGGTTCAAATGCACTTAAATCCATTCACACTCTGAATGACACACATTACACAATCCATGTCTCAAGGCTTAAAAATCCTCCTTTAACCTGGCTCCTCCCTTTCATCGTCACTGATTGAAGTGGGTTTAACAGGTGACATCAATAAGGGATCATCGCATTCACCCTGTCAGTCTGTTGTGGGAAGAGCAGGTGTTCCTAATGTTTTGTACACTGTCAGTGGAAGGGGAGGACCATCCTCCTCAGTGAATTTCATAAAATATTTACTTTTTAAAACATTTAAAAAGTGATAATTTTAGATAAAACTATACTAAATATAATCACGTCACCAAATAATTGATTAAAACACTATTTTGCAAAGGACTACAGTAGCCTCAACAGCACGCTGTAGGGTAGCACAATGGTGTAGCCGGAGGACAGCTAGCTTTCGTCCTCTGAGTACATTGACTTCAATACAAAACCTATGAGGCTCATGGTTCTCACCCCCTTCCATAGACTTACACAGTAATTATGACAACTTCAGGAGGACGTCCTCCAACCTATCAGAGCTCTTGCAGCATGAACTGACATGTTGTCCACCCAATTAAAGGACCAGAGAAGGCCAGGGTTGTGGGTTCGATTCCAGTACGAAAAAAATAAATAATGTATGCACTCACTAACTGTAAGTCGCTCTGGATAAGAGCGTCTGCTAAATGACTAAAATGTTTTTTTAAATGATGTAGGCTGTGTGTAGCGGTTTGGCTTGGAAAGTTTTTTTTTTTGCCTGGTCACATACAGCTGATGTGTTGTGCATTGAAATCCACAAGTGAAGGGAAGAGGTGAAAGGAGGAGAGCGCAAAACATAGATGCCAGAAGGAATACAACGTGGCTGCTATGAAACTGTGAACTGTGTTTCCGCGTGATCAGGGGTGTATTCATTCCGCCGATTCTGTTGGAAAAACGTTTTTTAACAGAAGCAAACGGAACAAAACTGGGATAAACATACCTGAATTTCTCCAATAGAAACTCTTGTTTGCAACTGTTGGACTAATGATTACACCCTATATCAGCTAGATGCAGGCAAGGGTGTGCAAGGCAGTATTGAATGTCACTGTCTGTCCATGTGTCACTGTCTCTCACATCAAATTTGTCTCTCGACCAGTGTGCATCTACGTTGTAAACATTCATTCATAGGCTAGGTTGTAGCAACCTCATGATGGGTATAAAAATTTGAGTATCATGTAGTAGCCTAAACCTATCGCTGTTACATTTAACTGGGTGAATGGAATATGAATGACAGTCATCTAATATGCTGTAATAGAAAAAAGGTCCTCCCTCATCTGAAACGACACTGACCGCCACTGCGCTCAGTGTATAGGCATGTTTATATTTTAAACACCTAAATATTTCACTAGGGGGCGACAAACAACCATGAAAATGTATGTCTGGTACATAACGGGCAATAAGCGCGCCACCTCTTGGAGCGCCTACAACACTGAACATGAATAGAACAACGCCGCACTTGTTTTTGTTCGATGTGTGTTGCCCTGACAACAGCGCAAGTCAATCCCTATTTTGAAAGTGTTTTGAAGTGGTACATTTGATTCCTATTGACAAACTTTATCAGTAAATACTACGCGCAGAGGTGTTTCAGGTGTATTATGGCTGATCCAGTGGCATCGACGACTGAAGGGCCACCAGCCAATCTCATTGGGAATGTAAATATAATTAATTGTTACAACAGGCAGACATATTTGCCCTCTAGGAAAATACGCCTACTGTAATTTCTCAGTTTGATAGATATACATTGAATCATCAGTTGTCACGGGCATAACACTAGCTAGAAGGTTGGGTTGCTACCTGGTTCATTTTCACAGCTGTTGAGAAGAGTATCGAGAGCCGAGCCTGTTCCTGATGTTGAGGAAGAAGAGGATGAGGCTCTTCCCCCAACCCCACCACTAATTCCACGAGGCCCACTGGTGAGTTTGCGTTCTGGTATTGCCAGTTCACATTATTATGCATAGTTAATTGGAATATAGACTTTACACCTGATATAATGATGATTATTACATTAAATAACTATAGTGTTTAAAATAGTGTATTTTGTTAACAGAAAGGATGTCTAACAGTCCATCTGAAAAACTGCAGGGAGTTCAACAAGAACGGTATCCTTCTCAGTGGCCCCTAACACAGTCAAATCATTAGACCATATTCACCATATGCCAAAGCTTTGTGTGTGTGTGCCAGTGTGCTAAATGAGGTAAGCTCACCTAGCTATCTTAAGATGAATGCACTAACTGTACGTGGCTCTGGATAAGAGCGTCAGATAAATGACTAGTAAAATGAAGTTTTCCTGAGCGTTGTGTTCCCAGCTTCCGTAAAGAAAGGCACCAAGGGCTTCCTGAGGATGAGTATTGGGGAGAAGGTCAAGTGTACTATGGTCCAGCCCTACAAGGACCCCAAGGCTGAGCACTCCAAGTTCCCCCTCTGCTTCAACGAGTGGAAGTATTTCTCCATACAGGTAAGAAGGCAGGCAACTTACTGTAGCCTGGTTTCCCACATCAGTTGGCTACATTTCAGGTACAGTATGGGGCCAGCTATTGCAATACTGTATAGAGAAAGTTGTAAGAAAAATATATTTTCCATATCTAACAGGACAGGTGTTTCTCTATCCAAGACCTTAACACAATCAATCAATGACTAATTTGGATGTTTCAGATTCCTAAGAGCACTGATAACACACTGGGTATCTGTGAGTCACACCGTCTGGTCGTGGAGCTCATCTTCTTCGAGCAGGACACCGGAGTTCCCAAGCTCATAGGCAAGACCTTTGTCAAACTGCTGGACATCCTCAGTGTGAGTGAACCACAGATAGGGACAAACCCACCGCCCCTTCATGCTCACCATGTTTAAATCAGATAATAATACAATTATGCTCATAAAAGTGTACAAGGCTGTCCAGGGCTAAACATGTGGATGTCCTCCACCAAAGAACCAATGGGTTCCTTTTATTTTAGCTTTCAGTTGATGGTAAAAGTATTTTCATTCACCTGCTGCTAGAAGGCCGGCATGCAGGACCAGATATCAACTGTCTTGTCCTCTGTCCTGTTCTCTAATCAGAAATCACAAGTGAACCAGCTGCTGGATCTGAAGCTCAAGCGCCAGGTACAGAATATGAATCATACACTATGTTCAACATGTGGGGTATGTATACTATGTTCAATATGAGTTTTGTACAACGGATTCCTGTATTGATATACACAATAAAAGCCAACTTCTTTTCCAGATCATCTGTAAGCTGGAGATGGAAATGGTCATTGCATATGGATCTTTGGGTTACGGATATTCCCACCAGGTTAGAGGGATGCTCCCACCAGGTTAGAGGGAGACTCCCACCAGGTTAGAGGGATGCTCCCACCAGGTTAGAGGGAGACTCCCACCAGGTTAGACGGAGACTCCCACCAGGTTAGAGGGAGACTCCCACCAGGTTAGAGGGAGACTCCCACCAGGTTAGAGGGAGACTCCCACCAGGTTAGAGGGAGACTCCCACCAGGTTAGAGGGAGACTCCCACCAGGTTAGACGGAGACTCCCACCAGGTTAGAGGGAGACTCCCACCAGGTTAGAGGGAGTCTCCCACCAGGTTAGAGGGAGACTCCCACCAGGTTAGAGGGAGACTCCCACCAGGTTAGAGGGAGACTCCCACCAGGTTAGAGGGAGACTCCCACCAGGTTAGACGGAGACTCCCACCAGGTTAGAGGAGACTCCCACCAGGTTAGACGGAGACTCCCACCAGGTTAACGGAGACCCACCAGGTTAGAGGAGACTCCCACCAGGTTAGAGGGATGCTCCCACCAGGTTAGAGGAGCTCCCACCAGGTTAGACGGAGACTCCCACCAGGTTAGAGGGAGACTCCCACCAGGTTAGAGGGAGACTCCCACCAGGTTAGAGGGAGACTCCCACCAGGTTAGAGGGAGACTCCCACCAGGTTAGAGGGACTCCCACCAGGTTAGAGGGAGACTCCCACCAGGTTAGAGGGAGACTCCCACCAGGTTAGAGGGAGACTCCCACCAGGTTAGAGGGAGACTCCCACCAGGTTAGAGGGAGACTCCCACCAGGTTAGAGGGAGACTCCCACCAGGTTAGAGGGAGACTCCCACCAGGTTAGAGGGAGACTCCCACCAGGTTAGACGGAGACTCCCACCAGGTTAGAGGGAGACTCCCACCAGGTTAGACGGAGACTCCCACCAGGTTAGAGGGAGACTCCCACCAGTATTTGTGTAGATGAGGAGGAGGACTTGATCATGCCTATTTATTATTTACTCCCTAGTTGAAGCACCCAAAGAGAAACATGGAGAGCTTAGTGGAGCGCTCTCTCTTCCTCCGCTGTCCACCACCGGAGGACCGCAAAGACCCTCACTAGTGAGACACAAACACACACTCAAATACTGTACATTAATTCTTAACTATTGACATTCTAACACTGTGACCCTTTTGCGTCAGTTTTTTCCCTAGATTTGACAGACCGATATTCTCCCATGTAACTTATCTCTCCCTGTGTCTACAGTAATGTGGTCACACCTAAGCCAGTGCCTTATTCGGACTTCATCGCAGCGCTGATGTACAGAGAGACCACCAACCCAGACAACAGGACGACTTACCCCTCAAACAGCACAATCTCCCCCATCATCCTGGAATGTATGGAGAAGAGGGGCAGGTACGGTTTATTATGAAATCCCATTCTGGGTTCGAAGGTCAAAGTGTAAACAGTTTTAGGCACATTTTCTGAAAATGATGCATAGTAGCTATACTAACAAAACAAAATGTCTACTGTCCAAAAACTGCCTTAATGAATTCATTATAGCCAAGGTAAGTGGAAAATCATGTTAAATAACAAACAAATTATTATATATTTTTGTAATTAATTTGAGTAAACTATCACTTTAAAACATGATAGAAATACATGTGATAATGCTAAATGGTCAATATAGTGTTAACTTAGAAACGATAGGAAATATGTAGGAAGGAGACGTCTAGGATAGGCCACAGATGGAGTCCGCGTCCCAAACGGTACTCTATTCCCTATATAGAGCATTCCAGAGCCCTGGTCAAAAGTAGTGCGCTATAAAGGGAATAGGGTACCGTTTGGGAGGCAACCATAATGTGACGTTATTAACCCCATGATGCCCAGGCTACTACAGATGCATGAGGAGATGGAGGCGTTTGAGTTGTCTGAGGACGCCCTCCAGTACCTGGAGAATCTGGTGATGAAGAAAGGGATTAGAACCGGAACCCCCTGGAGGATGAACAAGAGGTTCAAGGTCAATCACCGGTCTGTCTGTCTGTGACTCAACTGTCTGTCTCGCTCTCTTTATTTATCTATTTACTCTCGCTCAATCAATTCAGTTCATTCAGGAAGTCCCATACAGATTTCTCCTTATTCGTTTCCTGAATTTACTGACTTCAAAACACAATTGGCCACAATCCTAGTGTGTGCTCTCTGTAAATGCTTTATTTACATAACCCTGTGTGTATTCTATGTCAATGACCATCTTGTTTGAGCTGTACGGCAGGGTTTTGTCCTGTAAAACACTATATCTGAGAGGGTGTTGTCTGGTCTGTGTATGCAGGTTCTCTCTAAGTGGAGGAAAAAGGTAACCATGGTTTCCAAGCTGCTCAATTTTGGAGGCTGCTCAGAGGCGGCGAAACAGCAGAGAGACAAAATGTTGCCCACAGGCCCTTTGGGTTGGTCAACCTTCCTCTTTTACGGACACACACACATACATGGCTAAGCTCAGCAAAGGCTAAAAGACAGATTGGGTGTTGTATAGGGATTCCTCTGGCTAATATCAATATCCATGGCAGTGCTGATGATGATGTCACTGTTGTTATGTTGCAGGAGATGTGACTCCCTCTGTGCCACTTTTAAAGTGCCTTGCCATGCAACAGGTACTGCTGATCTGTGTTTACACACACACACACACACACACACACACACACACACACATCAGTATCTTTCATGTGTCATTTCCTCTGCTGTTTCCTTACAGGAGAAAATACCCTTAGTCAACGAGAACGACGTGTCTAAAATGAGCAAGCCTTCATCTCCCAGAAAGACCCTGGCTGCAGCCTCTGGCCTGTCCACATCTATGGCCTCCACCCAGGCTGCCCAGTCAGCCCCATCCTCTCCACCTCCATCTGATCAATTTACCACACCGCCAACAGTAGCCGCCCCACCTAAATCGTCCATGGCCCATAAGGCATCTCCCCCTAGCGGTGTGGTCTCCAGCTCCATGGACCACCCTGCCCAGTCCATGGCCACCTCTCCCCCCAGACACGTCACCCTGGTACTGCCTGAGAGTCCCGCCACATCAGCCTCCACCTCCGCTCAACCCAGTACCAGACACATCCCTAAACCCACCAATGTGGCTGCAGTCCCCGTTCACATCCACCTGACCTCCCCCTGTGTTCTTACTACCCTGGAGGAAGACGGAGAGGAGGAAGACGAAGAGGTGGAAGAGAAAAAGGAGGTGCGTGCTCCAGTGTCGTCCTCCCTCCTCAAGATGCTTTCCTCTCTGACGCTGACCCCTGAGGTGGCCCTCCATGCCACCCTGGTGCCCTCGCGCCAACAGAGCAGGCATGGGCAGCTGGAGGAATGTCAGCCAGCTAGCCCCATGAACCAGCAGGAGGAGTTTCAGCCAGCTAACCCCAGTTACCAGCAGGAGGAGTTTCAGCCAGCTAACCCCAGTTACCAGCAGGAGGAGTTTCAACCAGCTAACTCCAGGTACCAGCAGGAGGAGTTTCAGCCAGCTAACCCCGGGTACCAACCTTACCAAAAGCCCAGGGGGAAGAGTGGCCGAGACCTGGGGGGGACTGGTAGTGGTGCCCCTGGAGGAATAAGGGAGTCGGGGTGGACCCAGACCCAGAGAGAGGCTGCTGGGATGGGCAGCATTGGAAGTCAGTGGAAGGTGAATTTTGCTGGGCTTGGCTCTCTTAGTTCCGGAGGGCAGAGGAGGGAAGAAGATGCCCCATGCAGCAGCACTGGCTTCAGGTCCCCTACACTGAACGACCTGGCCCCACCACGGCTGCTGGGGGCCTGGACTGAGAACATTGCCAATGTGCCAATACCCATAGGAGGGGGTGGGGGAGGCCTGGCCTGGAGATCTGGAGGTCTGTCCGCCGCTCAGGGAACCAGCCCTACTCTCCGCTCTCAGTTAATCTCGCCCCCGTCCACCCCGCCTTTATCCTACCCTCTGAGCCACAGCCCTCTGACGCGCTCCCCCCTGCCGCCTCTCGACTCCCGGGCCACCGACACACCTTCTCCAGACCTGGAAACCTGGACCCTGGATAGTTCCCCCTTCCTCGGTGGCAGGCTGTGTGAGTCCAACCCTCCAGATCTACATGTAGGTGAAACCAGCATTGGCAGCAACACTGACAGGCACACCCAGAGACCAGGAGGAGCCAGCTCCAGCACAGACCCACTCACCACACTCAACTCCTGGCTCAGCAGTGACAGTCTCCCCACCGGAGCTGGCTCAGACTCTGGACAGTGGTCCCTCCTCTCAGAGATCGACATGTCCCCACTCCGCAGTGGACTGGTCTTCTCCCCCCTCACTCCCATCTCCTCCTCCGGCCCCCTCATCCCTAGCCCCAGCACCTCCCCTACCAGACGCACCAGAGGCAGCAAGCCAGGCAAGGAGAGACCCAGGGTCCTGGAGACACCTAATTCCCCGTATCACAGGCGCAACAGAGACAGCAGAGATTATTATGGGGAGATGTAGCGAAAAAATATATTTTTTGGCAACCTATTTTGTTCATTGTCTGTTACTTTGGAAATTGTTACTTTGGAAATTATCTGATTAGGTTATCTAAGGATTCATTCAAATGTGTGGAAGCAAGATATTTTTTTTCTCTTCAGTTTTTTATAATTATTTTCGTTTATTTTATCAAAGAATTTCGTTAAGATTAATTATAATCTTATTTTATTGATAAAATAGGATAGGGCCTCTAAAGCGGAACCTTTTTAATTAGGGATTTTGTTTCAGCGGAGCTGGAGGAATGTTTTGACCACAGGACCGTTCCCAAACTTTGGTATGTGAAATCATTCTCGTAGAAAATGTTTTATAAAAAACTGTTCCCATCCTGAATAATTTCATAGCATTTACGTAAATTGAATAAGCACAATTAACGAAAAGTATGCTAAATACTTTTTGTCGCGTACTGCATGTATACTTGGATGCTGGCTTGGCTTGTTGAATATTTACTTCCTAAATGTTGTCACATGCTAAAGCAAGCTAACATAAACATTGCATAAAGCGAGCTGGCTACGTTTTCCTTTCTATTTCCAATTTGCATGACATGAGTTAGCTCACTAACCTCTGAATATGCCCTGTAAAATAATGGCATTTGCGAGAAATAGCAAGTATTCCCGAAAACAACCTCCTTACATATCCCCAACAACCTCAAGTTGCTGCTAGTGGTCGGCTCATATAGATGGTGTGTGATTATGCGGTTAGGACGGCGGCGTCTGATACGTTTTAACAGATCTGTGTCCAGACTGAGTACATTCTTTAGAGGTGAGTCTCTTACTTTAAGGTGGCTGATTTAGCGACTCACTGACTCCATCCAACCAGTGTCAGAGGAAGCCAACAGAGATGTTGCCATTATATGACTTGTGCATCTGTCAAGTGATGGCAAGCAGATGATGCCTGTACTATAAAACAGCAATGTTCCTTGATAATACTTTGTGTGTTGCTCCTGAACCCATAGTACATAAAGGCTGTGCCTGATCCTAGAAATCCACAGCCTTTCTCATGTTTGTGGTGCATTCACAAGACAAGGGAAATATGACCTGGTTGCTCCTTGACCTGAAGTTACATCATCTCTCTAGGTGGCTGGTGATAGTCTGCCATGGAGAGAGATGGGGGTAATGTTACATCATCTCTCTAGGTGGCTGGGGATAGTCTGCCATGGAGAGAGATGCAGGTGATGGGGTTCTGCTGGACTGTCCCTGGGTACCAGTGTGTATCAGTGGGTCTCAGCTTCTGGCCAAGACCTGGTTTGGGGACACAGCGTACCGCATCCTGCTCACTGACCTGCACTCTGTGTGGGAGGAGGAGATGGACACCACAGCCATCCAGGACAGAGCTCAGGCAAGGAGGAGGACACATACACACACACATACACAAACTAAAGTACATTTCAACAACCTTTGAAAAAATGTCCTCTCTGTCATAACAGGAGCTGAACAGGCGATTGCGGGCTCCCGTCCTTGCCTTCTTCTCTCACCTGTGTGTGGTGGCTCGCCCCTGTCTGTCTGGACAGGTGGACGTAGGGGTGGAGAACGGGGGTGCAACGGCTCAGTTGTCCCTCAACCCCCACGGCGGTGACATCAACCTGAAGTTGAAGAGTGAGCTGGCGGGGGTGCCCTTCTACTGGGAGTTCCGCTGCACCCTTGCCCCTGTGGCTTTGGTAAGATCCATAATCCATAGACTTAACTGAACAACAACTCTATGCTCAACTCTCACTAAACTTTTGTATGTATGTGTGTGTGTCTGCTCTTTTTCTTTATGTGTGTGTGCGCGTTCGCGTTCCATGACTAATGGTTGTGTAATGCGTATTGGTGTGTGCTATTAGGCATGCAGTCAGCTGGTGCGCCCCCTGCTGTTGATGAGCAGGTTACTGCAGAGGCAGGTGGGCCAACTGGGAGCTCTTCTGGCCAGGAAAGACACTGAGATCCAAGACTATAGGGACAATGGGGCAGTGCTAAGCAGAGGTAGGCTCTACACACACCGAAACACAAATACACTCATTAAACACCACACACACACACACACACACACACCTGTTCCTCTCTCATTTGTGTGTGTGTGTGTTTTGCAGAGCGTTTGCAGACAGAGTTGTTTGAGGAGCAGAGCTATAGAGAGAACTTCCTGACACAGGTAAGTTTCATACAGTCACAATCGCAGGCATACTGACCACACATAGTTGATAGGAATGGTTACAAGATAGGAAGAATATATTACTGGGAAAGAGGAAGTCTGGCAAGAGCCTTTGAATACTCAGCTTAGTAAGGAAGCCACAATAAACCAGGTTTCTGCTGCAATATTTAGTGTGTGTGCCTTTCTCTGGGCGTGGCCTTCCATAAACAAGGTTATTATTGACATCTAGTGTTCTACTTATTGGATGGTTGTCTGTCCTTGTTTTATCCAGTGATCACTGACCGAGTAGTGTGTCCACACTTTTGTAAAGACCTTTGTTGTTTTTATAATGAAGTTCTACCTTAACCTTTATCTAGACCTGATAGACAGTTGTGTATTCATGCTTTAAAAGAAATGCTTTGTTTGCACAAGGCGCGGATTTTGCACAGTTGCATGGCACCCTGGATGGCCCAGGTAGGGCTGGGTCCTTGCTCAGCCAACTGGTGGCTGTAGTTGATTCTGGGCTAGGGGCATTGTAGCCATGAGGTGGCTGGTGGGAGGTTCTGGGTTTGGCTGGATCATGGCCAAGTACATTTCCCGCTGGGTTAGGGCCGGGTAAAGAGGCTTGGAGGACCCGATGGGCCCGTGTATCTCCATAATAGCCTTGGTAGCCTCCTCGGGGGAGGTGAGGCTGATAAACCCCTTACTGCTGCTGACCTCAGTCATCACCTTGGCACAAGAGCTGGCACAATGGCCATATAATCGTGTGACCGGTCATAACCGTATTTTTTTTGGGGGGGACAATTGTGGAACGAACAGCTTAATGAAGACGGGACGGCTGGGCATTCGTTGAGTCTGTTTCTGTGGTTACCTGGACTCTTTACAACATGATGAGACTTTGTTGCTCCTAGCTGTAGCAAACAAGGCTTTGGTTGCCTAGGCAACGCTCCACTTCCTGCAGCACATGCAGTCAGGAGTGGAGAAGGAGAAAATGTGCGTCTTTAAAATAAAAAATAACTAAAACATTTTGCTACTCAAACGATTATAACGCTGACCACGGTCATTAGGCTGGCCAATAACCGTCATCCAAAATTCCATGACCATCACAGCCCTACTTGGCACTTATGATGGTTTCTGCACAGGGAAAACAACTGTCTTAGACCATCGTCATCCACTCCTTCATCCAGATTCTTGATGTATATATAGGTTTACGCTCTTCTGTTACATAGCCTCCTGGGTTGCCCGGTGAGGGCTGGTTCCCTGCTCAGCCAGGGTCCTTAATCTTACCCCACCCAAAATACTAACCTCCCCTGTTATTGATAATTATGCTTCCAACTTTCTCACTCATTATTGACGTTTCATTCATGATTATCCGTAATCATGGTGGCATCCACATTATCGTAGAAGTGTTTAGAATCATTATTTTCTTATTTCCAATAAAAGTGACTCCAAAATGACACAATATGTTATTCAACATTCAGTTCCTACATTCAGTTCATATTCCCAACAAACTCCAAACGCATCGAACAAGTTTGTAAAGTCACAAGCTTGATGTAGTCGTTGTATGCTAGGAATATGGGACCAAATACTAAACTTTTGACTGCTTTAATACACTATAAGTTAATTTTTTTTTCAAATACTTATGACACCTTCAAATGGGAGGGGCTAGATACACAAAGTGCTTTTCATTTCTAATCTAAACGGTAAAACATATGTATGGAAATACCCCCCCAAATAAAAGGTGACTGTGTCCTGTCGCCTCATATGAAACATGCTGGAGGACAGTAGAAAGTTGTAGCTGCCTAAATAGATATGGAGGGGAGTGTATGTGCAGTCAGGTCCCAAATGATTGGCACCCTTGAGAAGGGGGAGCAGAAATGACTATATGAAATAAAAAGCAGATTAAGCAAACACTAATTGAGTTAATTTGTTTGTCCAAAATAGTGCTTTATTCTAAGATTATACCTTGAATACTTTCTATTTATAAATTGGATGACTTGCTCATGTGTTAACAGTAGTTTGGTCCCCTGGTAGTTTAATGAGCCTGTGTTTTACAGTGCCTTGCAAAAATATTCATCCCCATGGCGCTTTTCCTATTTTATTGCATTACAACCTGTAATTTTATTTTATTTTTATTTGGATGTCATGTAATGGACATACACAGTCCAATTTGGTGAAGTGAAATGAAAAAAAATAACGTGTTTCAAAAAATTCTAAAAAATAAATAACGGAAAAGTGGTACGTGCATATGTATTCACCCCCTTTGCTATGAAGCCCCTAAATAAGATCTGGTGCAACCAATTACCTTCAGAAGTCAAATAATTAGTTTAATAAAGTCCACCTGTGTGCAATCTAAGTGTCACATGATCTCAGTATATATACAGTGGGGCAAAAAAGTATTTAGTCAGCCACCAATTGTGCAAGTTCTCCCACTTAAAAAGATGAGAGAGGCCTGTAATTTTCATCATAGGTACACGTCAACTATGACAGACAAATTGAGAAAAAAAAATCCAGAAAATCCCATTGTAGGATTTTTAATGAATTTATTTGCAAATTATGGTGGAAAATAAGTATTTGGTCACCTACAAACAAGCAAGATTTCTGGCTCTCACAGACCTGTAACTTCTTCTTTAAGAGGCTCCTCTGTCCTCCACTCGTTACCTGTATTAATGGCACCTGTTTGAACTTGTTATCAGTATAAAAGACACCTGTCCACAACCTCAAACAGTCACACTCCAAACTTCACAATGGCCAAGACCAAAGAGCTGTCAAAGGACACCAAAAACAAAATTGTAGACCTGCACCAGGCTGGGAAGACTGAATCTGCAACAGGTAAGGAGCTTGGTTTGAAGAAATCAACTGTGGGAGCAATTATTAGGAAATGGAAGACATACAAGACCACTGATAATCTCCCTCGATCTGGGGCTCCATGCAAGATCTCACCCCGTGGGGTCAAAATGATCACAAGAACGGTGAGCAAAAATCCCAGAACCACACGGGGGGACCTAGTGAATGACCTGCTGAGAGCTGGGACCAAAGTAACAAAGCCAACCATCAGTAACACACTACGCCGCCAGGGACTCAAATCCTGCAGTGCGAGACGTGTCCCCCTGCTTAAGCCAGTACATGTCCAGGCCCGTCTGAAGTGCATTTGGATGATCCAGAAGAGGATTGGGAGAATGTCATATGGTCAGATGAAACCAAAATATAACTTTTTGGTAAAAACTCAACTCGTCATGTTTGGAGGACAAAGAATGCTGAGTTGCATCCAAAGAACACCATACCTACTGTGAAGCATGGGGTTGGAAACATCATGCTTTGGGGCTGTTTTTCTGCAAAGGGACCAGGACGACTGATCCGTGTAAAGGAAAGAATGAATGGGGCCATGTATCGTGAGATTTTGAGTGAAACCCTCCTTCCATCAGCAAGGGCATTGAAGATGAAACGTGGCTGGGTCTTTCAGCATGACAATGATCCCAAACACACCGCCCGGGCAACGAAGGAGTGGCTTCGTAAGAAGCATTTCAAGGTCCTGGAGTGGCCTAGCCAGTCTCCAGATCTCAACCCCATAGAAAATATTTGGAGGGAGTTGAAAGTCTGTGTTGCCCAGCGACAGCCCCAAAACATCACTGCTCTAGAGGAGATCTGCATGGAGGAATGGGCCAAAATACCAGCAACAGTGTGTGAAAACCTTGTGAAGACGTACAGAAAACGTTTGACCTGTGTCATTGCCAACAAAGGGTATATAACAAAGTATTGAGAAACTTTTGTTATTGACCAAATACTTATTTTCCACCATCATATGCCAATAAATTCATTAAAAATCCTACAATGTGATTTTCTGGATTTTTTTTTCTAATTTTGTCTGTCATAGTTGACGTGTACCTATGATGAAAATTACAGGCCTCTCTCATCTTTTTAAGTGGGAGAACTTGCACAATTGGTGGCTGACTAAATACTTTTTTTCCCCACTGTACACCTGTTCTGAAAGGCCCCAGAGTCTGCAACACCACTAAGCAAGGGGCACCACCAAGCAAGCGGCACCATGAAGACCAAGGAGCTCTCCAAACAGGTCAGGGACAAAGTTGTGGAGAAGTACAGATCAGGTTTGGGTTATAAAAAAATATCTGAAACTTTGAAGATCCCACGGAGCAACATTAAATCCATTATTAAAAAATTGAAAGAAAATGGCACCACAACAAACCTGCCAAGAGAGGGCCGCCCACCAAAACTCACGGACCAGGCAAGGAGGGCATTCATCAGAGAGGCAGCAAAGAGACCAAAGATAACCCTGAAGGAGCTGCAAAGCTCCACAGCGGAGAATCTGTCAATTTTTTAAAACATTTTAGTCATTTTAGCAGACGCTCTTATCCAGAGCGACTTACAGTTAGTGAGTGCATACATTTTTCATACTGGCCCCCCGTGGGAATCGAACCCACAACCCTGGCATTGCAAGCGCCATGCTCTACCAACTGAGCTACACGGGACCAGGACCACTTTAAGTCGTACACATAGGACCACTTTAAGCCATACACTCCACAGAGCTGGGCTTTATAGAAGAGTGGCCAGAAAAAAGACGTTTGGTGTTCGCCAAAAGGCATGTGGGAGACTCCCCAAACATAAGGAAGAAGGTACTCTGGTCAGATGAGACTAAATTTGAGCTTTTTGGCCATCAAGGAAAGCGCTATGTCTGGCGCAAACCAAACACCTCTCATCACACCGAGAACACCATCCCCACAGTGAAGCATGGTGGTGGCAGCATCATGCTGTGGGGATGTTTTTCATCGGCAGGGACTGGGAAACTGGTCAGAATTGAAGGAATGATGGATGGCGCTAAATACAGGGAAATTCTTGAGGGAAACCTGTTTCAGTCTTCCAGAGATTTGAGACTGGGACGGAGGTTCTCCTTCCAGTAGGACAATGACCCTAATCATACTGATAAAGCAACACTCGAGTGGTTTAAGGGGAAACATTGAATTGTCTTGGAATAGCCCAGACCTCAATCCAATTGAGAATCTGTGGTATGACTTAAAGATTGCTGTACACCAGCGGAACCCATCCAACTTGAAGGAGCTGGAGCAGTTTTGCCTTGAAGAATGGGCGAAAATCCCAGTATCTAGATGTGCAAAGCGTATAGAGACATACCCCAAGAGACTTGCAGCTGTAATTGCTGCAAAAGGTGGCTCTACAAAGTATTGACTTTGGTGGGGGTGAATAGTTATGCACGCTTAAGTTTTCTGTTTTTTTGTCTTATTTCTTGTTTGTTTCACCCCCCAAAAATATTTTGCATCTTCAAAGTGGTGGGCATGTTGTGTAAATCAAATGATACAAACCCCCCAAAAATCAATTTTAATTCCAGGTTGTAAGGCAACAAAATAGGAAAAATGCCAAGGGGGGTGAATACTTTCGCAAGCCGCTGTAGTTAGTGTGTTGGGTGCTTTTCAGTGTGTGTGTTTGAGTGTGCGGTGGAAGGATGTGGAATTTCTCAGTCGCTACTTCATTGACCCCCATCCCTGACCTGTGTGTGTTGGCATTTAAGTGTCCTGGGGAATGTAGAGATGGATCTTTGAATGAACTCGGCAGTGTGAAACAGGGGGCAGGCAGGCCCCACTCTCCCTCACTCCTGTCCCGTATGGAGGGTAGGGGGTACTCTGCCTTTACTGTAGTAAGGCCCTCTACCCTGGGCTCGGACCTTACTGTAGTAAGCCTCCCTGGAGGTTTGGGGAAATGCTCATCTGGAGATGGCCCATAAAGATAATGGCAATGCATGCAGGGGAACGTGGCCTTTCCTCCTCTCGGGTCAAAGTACACACACCCCGCACCCTTCTCCTGGCCATGGCAAATTCCACTGAGCGCCGGCAGGCCGCCACGGACCAAAGTCCAAACTGAAATGAAGTGTCTGGAAAAATTTCACTGCGAAGTGTCAAGACCACACACACACACTGGAGAGGGAGGCGGCGTCCATGGCCAGCCATTCCTTTGGGCTCATGGCCTGACCAGTAGACAGATAGGTGGAGGAGGCGCGAGGCGAGGAGCCGCGGCATGTGTGTGTAGTATTTGTCCATAGGAGGTGGTGTCTCTGTTTGCGTTTCCCCCTCTGGGAAGACTCTCTGTGTAACTTTGTGTCCGTCTGTCTCTCCTGATGTCTTGCTGTTCGTCTTCACTCTAAGTCGGCTCTGTTTTAGCCTCCAGCCTTCGGCTCGTATGGCTATACTGGGAACCCCCCCCCGCCCCAGGCCCAGATAATGTCTCCTTCACCTCTCCGCTCACCTCTGTCAACACGGCACTTACCTTTTGATGGCTACTCTTACTCAATGGCTACTGAAAGATGCCTTTATCTGTGGGCAAACACATTTGGAATGACATACCTGGCCTTCAAAGCGGTGCGCAGGGGTATTTTTGGAGAATGATTTTCCTGCAAATTAAAAGGGGGAGAGAGGAAGGACTTCTGTTTATCAACAGACCTGGGTTCAAATAGCATTTGAAATCTTTAAAATACTTGCACTCTGCTTGCCTGGCACAAAGGAACTAATGGAATGGTCCCAAAAGTGCAAACGCTGCACATCCGGGCAGGCTCAAGGAACCGCTCAAAGTATTAAAAATACTATTTGAACCCAGATGTGGTTTGTACTTTCCATCCCTCCCCTTCACTCCACCCCCCTCTCATTCCTCTCCTTACTCACCCCCTCTCTCCCCCCCTTTACTACTGCCCACCCCCCTCCATCCTATGCCCGTTCACTCCACCCCCCCCCCTCCACCCACCGGCACGCACCCCCATGCACCCTCACCTGCACCCCCCCACCACACGGGCCACGCCCGCACGCCACCCCCGCTCCCCCCGCACGCACCCCCCGCGCACCGCCCGGCCTCCACCCGCCAGACCCACCCCCCATCACCCCCTCAGGCACGCCACCCCCGCTCAGCCCCGCGGCACCACCCCCTCACGCCGACACCCACCCCCTCCATCCTCACCACCCCAGACCCCACACCCAACCCCACGCACCCCCCCCATAACCTCCCACCCACCCCACCCCGCCGTCCCCACACCCCTCCCTTCTCCCACCCCCCAACCCCACCCACCCCCTCATGCCTTCCCCGCACCCCCGCTCCCTTCCGCCACCCACCGCCCCATTCCCACTCCACCCCCCGCCGGTCCACTCCACCACCCGGCACCCACCAACCGCACCCACCCGCAGCCGTCCTGCACGCCACCCCCCCCAAACCCTCCACTCCACCACCACACCACACTCACTCCACCCCCCTCTCATTCCCCTCCCCACTCCACACCCCTCTCACCCCTCCCCTTTCTCTCACCCCCCCTCTCATTCCTCCTTCACTCCTCCACCCCCCTCTCATCCCTCTCCTTCACTCCAACCCCCCTCCACCCCCCCTTCCTTCACTCCACCCCCCTCTCATCCCTCCCCTTCACTCCACCCCCTCTCATTCCCCCCCTCACCCTCCTCCACCCCCCTCTCATCCTCCTCCTTCACTCCACCCCCTCTCTCCCTCCTCCTTCACTCCACCCCCTCTCATTCCCCCCCTTCACTCCACCCCCTCTCATTCCTCCCTTCACTCACCTTCACTCCACCCCCCTCTCCATTCCTCCTCTCACTCCCCCCCCTCTTTCACCCTCTCATTCCCCTCTTCACTCCACCCCCCTCTCATCCCCCCTTTCACTCCACCCCCTCTCATTCCCCCTCTTCACTCCATCCCCCTCTCATTCCTCCTCTTTCACTCCACCCCCTCTGCATTCCTCCTCTTCACTCCACCCCCCTCTCATTCCTCCTCTTCACTCCACCCCCCTCTCATTCCTCCTCTTCACTCCACCCCCCTCTCATTCCTCCTCTTCACTCCACCCCCCTCTCATCCCTCCACTGATTATTTTTTTCTCCTCTTCCTGTGTAGAGTAGACCTCCTGGAAAGGAGGATGAGAGAAGAGTGCAGATGAAAGAAGGGAAAGATAGACAGAGACGGGGGAAGAGAAAGTCAACCCAGGCACCTTTCTAGCTTTCCATTGGAGCCCCCTCCTCACCCCACACAAACACCCCACCCACCACAGGTCAACATTGACATGGAGGTTGGAATTAGACTACCCATCCACTGTCACACACACGCACATGCACGCACACACAGTGTCCTGGGTTCATCTGGAATCTAGATGCCCATTTCTAATGTGAAGGTAGAGAGGCCCAGAGTGTTGTGGTGGGTAAAAAACCTTGTGTCCTTCTTTTAGATCACACTAACCTCCATCTGAGCTTTTATCGTTTTGACCTGTTTTTGACCTGTTTTGTCACTGCTTGTGGATCGGGCCTGGCAAGGGGTGGGTCTGTTTGTCCACACTGGACCGGGCAATGACGCATGGTTTTGGTTTCAGAGGGGAGGGTGTGTCGTTGAGTGTTCCTTTTCGTGTGTGTGTGTGTGTGATAGTAGGTAGGTCTATGCTTCGGTGTGTGTGTGAGCCTGTGTGTGTAGGACCAGTATGTGTGTGCTTCTGTGTGTGTGACCAGTCCGCAGCAGTGACGCATGCCTTGGGGTTTTGGTGCTGAGTGGAGGAAAACATTGTGACTGAGTGAAGGAGGGGAGGGACATGTTCCCTGTGGTCTACCTCATGCTCCACACCCCTCCCCCTTCTCACCCATGCTGGATAGGAACAGGCTGGTCAGATCAGGGGAGGGGCTGGAGCGTTTACAGTAGCACCCTAACCCTGTGGGTTAGCATGCTAGTCCATCTGTAGTGCTGTGGATTTGGTTCTCCCTGGGGGTCTATGGGTTGGGGGTCAGGGGGGGTAGGGAGAAGTCTGGAGGCAGGGGATGTGGGGAGCTACTGGGGGGGTTGAGGTTAGCATCTCCCCCTGGTTATTCAGGGACTCCATCCACCAGAGGCTGTCATCACCGCTGGACATCAGACCTGGCCTCTGCGGCTCCTATGTCATCTCTCTTTATGTAGATGTCATGTATTTTCTGTCTTTATTGAACAGAGAGAGAGAGAGGGGATGGCTGTGGGGAAAGCTAGAGAGAGTTTGTGTCAAAGGGCAGCAGGCCGTATTTAAACCAGACAGCGTAGACCTGTGTGTTGGAGGCTTTACTGCTAGACCAGCCAGCCACCTATGTGAACTGTCATACAGCGCCTGTCTAGATCAGTCCAAGCACTGCTAGATAGATAGAGGCTGTTTTGAGATCAGTGGTTGAGCTGATGCCATGGTTCTATGCTCTGGTACCATGGTTCTATGCTCTGGTACCATGGTTATATGCTCTGGTACCATGGTTCTATGCTCTGGGACCATGGTTCTATACTCTGGTACCATGGTTCCTCTCTTGCTTTCCTCTCCATGTCGTTCTCTAGTTATTCATTCTCTCTCTCTCTCTCTCTCTCTCTCTCCCCGCCCTCTCCCCCGTCTCTCTCTCTCGCTCTCTCCCCGCCCTCTCCCCGTCTCTCTCGCTCCCTCTTTCTCTCCCCCCGCCCTCTCTCCCCCTCTTCTCCCTCTCTCCCCCTCTTCTCCCTCTTCTCTCTCTCCCCCTCTTCTCCCTATCTACCCCTCTCCTTCCTCTCTCTCTCTTTCTCCCCCCCCCCCCCTTCTCTCCCTCTCCCCTCCCCTCCTCTATCCCTCTCCCTCTCTCTCTTCTGTGTAGTAAATCATTGACAGCGGTCTTCTAAACAGGAGCGGGCCTTATCACACACACCTGAGGAATTTGTGCTCTGTGTGACAGTAGGTGGGGCTCCTAATAAAACAACAGGAATACAGTCGGTTGAACCAGCTCCTGTGGCTCAGTGCCCTGCTCTACCAGACACTGTCTGGTGGTGGTGGCAACACTGGCACAGCCTGGGTTAGATGACCTTGTTAGTTTGGTGGAGAGGCATGAGGTGATGGACTGGGTGTTTTTTAAAGGAATGAGCTGGGTTTGGTAGTTTTTAGAGGCACGTTTTTGAGGGAATTATGTGGGTTTTGTAGTTTGTTGGTTTGTTTTGAGGGATTGGGGTGGGGTTTTCTAGTTTGTAGAGGTATATTTGTATACTTCAGTGTGTTATGTAGGTATAACATACTGTAACAAACTTAGCCCCGATGAACCCGATATACCATTTCCCCCAAGTGAGTTAACTGTCTTGGGGTTGTGGCTAGTGCGTTTGCGTTCGGGGTCATGGTTACCCAGGTTCCATCTTTGCCAGGGATGACGCAATAGCTGGCGTTCACTGCTACAATACCGTACAGTACTATTAGAGGGTACCGGTGGGCTCTTATTCATATGGACTCTTTTGGCCAATGCAGGAGGTGAAATGACAATATCTGGCAGCCTTGTGGTTAATATCTCACGTGATATCTGGCAACCCTGTGGGTTGAATAGCACCCCCTTGTGCTCGGGAGACACCCCTGCTCCCAGGCTCTCACAGCTGAGTGCTGACTTTCTTTGGCATCAGGTTGGGTGGAAAGGTCTCTGTCATATGATTGGGTGCCGTAATGTCTCAAACAAACACACTTGAAGTGTCTGTCAGTGGATCCTGGTCGTTCACTAATGTTTTATTGGCAGCAGGTGATGAAGCGGAGACTGGTTTGTGTGCTGGACGTACTCTTCATGGAACTTCATGCCCACTCCTCCCTCACTAGGGGGGTGGGGAGGGGGGGCTTGTGTCCCCAGGGGGGAGGCCTCTGCTGGTAATGGAGCCCCAGGCTCCGGGCTGGGCCTCCATAATCATCCCTAACTGATAAGCATGTAATGTCCCTAATAACCATCCTGGACTGGAGGCCCGCTGGTAGGCCAGGACCAGAGAGGGAAGGAAAGATGAGAAATAATATCCTTCTTTCCTCTTCTCCTCCTTCCCTCCTTCCCTAATAGAGAAAGGACAGAGAATGGCTGCAGTCCAAACACATTATTTTTACCCCCTCAGCCCTCACGCTAGCCACTTTACCTCGGGGGAATCCCCGTCGAAACCGGATGCAGTTTCAGGTCCAATTCACAAACGTTGCCCCCTCGGCCCTCAATTTAGCTTGAGGGAGCGAGTGAAGAACTTGGATCACTTGTGGGGTTGATATGACCCACAATTCAATTCCAACTGTAGTCACGTGTCAAATTCTGGTGGCCACAAAGTGTCAAATTTAATCAACACGGCTCTATTTTCGGCATGTCAGACAAAATTATGATGCTAGCTTGCTGAAAACGTTATATAGATTACATTGATTTTAGCGTTGGCAAATTGTCTTAGTCTCGTAGTGAGGAGCCTATAAAACGTAGCTAGCGTCATAAACATATTTT